GGGTCATATTCTTCATTTTTCTTCTCATCACTTTAAATATCAAAATGACGAACTTGAGTATCAGTATCATCAATTTGAGTAATAAGAGGTTGAACACTTTCAAAGATCTTTCTCACTCTTTTTTTTTTATTGAGTCATTTTTTCATAAGTGAAATTGATATCTTTTAACTTTGACAAGAAGTTAAACCTAATAATTGGCAACAGTGCTCTCATCAACACTTTAGTTCCATCAAAAAGATGTTTTGAAATCTAAATCGATGATTATCATCTAACCATCGATGATGTGTCATATAATAAAATTTTTTATCATTATGTAACCACTTCAAACATGTCTGTATAATACAACATAGACAAGCATAATGACCTTTTATACTCCAATCAAATAAATTTACATAAGCAAAAAAATTATTGATATTCCATAATAAAATGGCACGTATATTAAAGTTCTCTTTTTTATGCATCACTGGTTTCAACTCTTTCTCATAATTGCTTTAACTCTTTAATAAGAGGTTGCAAATAGATGTCTATATCATTACCTAAACCTTTCTCCTCGAAAATTATCATAGATAAAATAAATGATTGTTTTTTCATGGCAATCCATGATGGTAAATTGTACAAAACTAATACAATCGATCAAGTACTACAAGAAGTACTCATCACTTTAAACAGGTTGAATCCATCAGATATCAGTCTAAGCATAATATTCTGAGAATCAAAAGTAAAGTCTAAAAACCTAGAATAAAATGATTTTCATGCTAAAGAATCAGTAGAATGCCTCGATGATCTAGCATTCATTCACTCGTCATAATACCATCTCATAAAATTTGTAATTTTGGAAGACATGAAGAGTCATTGAAGTCTTGATATTAATATAAAATATCATAAAATTTTAACAAACTTTTTTTGACATGGACTTCATCATCATCCCCATTCCACCTTTCATTGAGATTTATGTCCAACCAACGAGAATTGTCATACAGATGACAAGACTTTTTATTTTTTCTATCACCCCAATACAACATGCAATCATTGAGACAACTATGAATTTTTTATGTCCAAAACCTAAATCCTCGATTATCTTCTTTTAATCCTTACAAGATAGGAAACATTTCTTTCATAAACTCCAATAATAAAGTTAAAAAAAAATTTGTCCATCCACATAAGCATTTTAAATGAAAAAGACGCACAAAGAAAGACAATCTTGAATGCTTAGATCCCTCATAAAGTTTTTCATTTATATCCTCAAGCAACCTATAGAATTTTGATACTTCTCTACTGGGTTGTTAGCTACCTACACCTATCTCATGTTCACCAAATTCATTTTTTTCAACATTTGACTCATTAAATCCATTTTTTGGAGAGATGGATTATGAAAATGTTGGTTATAACTGTTGAAAGCATCTCGTAATATGCCTTTAATGTCATCTTGTCTAATAGGATCATGTAGGTGTTAGGGAGCTGTTGAAGTTAAAGGAACTCTAGTCAATGACCTTAACGGTACAGACTCTCCATAAAAATACCAATTAACATATTCAATACAAATTAAATGTTTCAAAATAACTTCACAAATTTACCAATCAATATTAGCACACCTCAAATATGGGTATAATATCATATTAATCTTCACTTGCATTTTCAAATGCAAAATTAAGAAAAATTTTCACTTCATCTCGATACTCTTGACTTATTATTGACTTTTATATCCAACTCTTATCCATTTAGTACTTGCTAAAATATCAAACCAAAGACATATAATTAATTATATGAAAATGAATTCTAACATAATTAATTAGACTAACCCTAAATCCAAAAATAATAATAAGTCAATATCACCAAACAAGTTATTTAATTTTTTTTTTTTGTATATTCTATATGATAAAAAAAATGAGTTGGCACATCTATATCATGCATGTAACATGGCAAAATAAGAAACGAAGATAAAACGAATACTCCCAAATATTGAAAAGAAAATATATGTTTAAACCAAACAAGAATGGAATTTGGAATTTGGAAAACTAAACAAATATTTGTGAATAGTATAAAGGTTGCACACACTTAAGCCTACCTCAAGTGATAAATACTTTTAATTCTCCAAATCTAGATCAAGTTGCAAAAGGAACTCTTTCCGATCACGTATCTGCGATAAAAAGATAATGTTAGTGTTAATGCATTTCGACAACCAAATGAAAAATCTAGCCATTCAACAACCAAATGAGCAAAGTTTCAATATTTAGTGTTAAAATTTGGGATCAATGAAGAAGACCAAAACCTAGTTTCTTTAGACAAATAACACAAAAAAAGTTTTGATTATCCATTTGTACTCTTTGATTAAATTCTAGAATTGGATAATCATAAGATTCAAGCTACAATATCTAAAAATGGATGATTATGGTTAGGATAAAGGCTAGCAATGCTACTAGTAATCATGTGCTGTTGTTGTCCTATGCTGTTACTCCACAATTCCATTAAAAATCAAGGGCAATGCTATTCTTACAAATGCAATGGAAAAAAAAGTTAAAATCATCAGGCTCAACTTTGAAGTAAGAACCAATAAGACTAGGTTGTCAACTTTGAAGTAAGAACCAATAAAGCTCAACTTCTTACCTTCCATGTTTTACAATCATCTAAAATTTAACACTTATATTTAAAAAAAAGAAAAAGAAGTATAAGAAAACTAATCTCCTAATTTTATCAATAAAAAACCGATGACTTTTAAATTAATAAAAAATTGCTTTCACTTTTTTATTTGGTGAAAAAGGAATTTGTATCATATTCTTTACGCAAGGGAATAGCAAAAAGTTGCTATATGATTTAAAGAACATTTAATTTATAGTACTAATGAATTATTGTTTTTCATGGTGAAGGAATATATATAACAATGAACTAGAAAAAAAACAAGACAAAGATGTTAATAATACCAGAACAAGACAGTGGTTTCTGATACGTCAAAAGAAGAATTCCTTTTAAACATTAGTTAATGCTCTTTTCCTTCTATTCTGGTTTGAGTCTAGAATTGTAGCAAAAGATATTGCAAATATCTTGAATTACAACACAATTATAGCATTTCCACAAGACATCCAATTATAAGCCAACAACGTGAGCAACATTCAACAGAATAAGAAAGACTAATGGTAAAACATCAAAATCTACAAATTTTCAAGAATTCAACATAACAACTGAAGGTGTCATAACTCACAATTCATGGAAAAAAAAAAGAACAATCAAAATACCAATTTTTACTCAAATCCAATAACAAAAATGTTAGCTTTTGAATGTTTTAAGAACTTTAATAATCTAGGTTTTACTTAGAAGCTCAAAAACAGTTTTAAACATGAAAGAAAACAAAAATGGGTTTTAAAATGTTCACATTTTTTGTGAAGCAGAAATGAAAGCATCAACTTTTAGCAATAACTAGTTTGCATATAAGTTATTAATCATTTAATTAACACTAATTAATTATATAGCTAATTAAAATTAGCTAAATCCTAAAAAGCATGGGTGTAGCTTTGCCAACCCTACTTTAGCCTCTGGCTATGATCAGCATATCCAGCCTTGAGCTAGCCATGTTGTTTGCCCATTACCAAATTGATTAATCAAGAGATTTGGGTTCATTTTTTGTTAATTCCTAGCATCAAGTGGGCAGTTCCATAACTGATTAGCTGTGGTGTTATCACACTAAAGAAAAGACAAAAATTTCTATAACTCAGTCTCTGTGGATTAAGAAACATGGCAGTTGGCATCATCGCAATGCCACCGAGTAGATTAGTAGTGAGAGTAGGTAGGGACTGAACCCTAAAACCAAAGAAGGAGAAAGAAAGGAATGAAACTAGCAGAGAAACAAAGGAAATCGAGCTTGAACGCACCGGCAAAGAAGGGGATCAAACGGAGAAGGAAACCTAACCGAAGAGCTACCAGTGAAGAAAGAAACCTAACTGAATAGCCACCATCGGAGAAGGAAATTGAACGGCAAACTCACCGACGTAGAAGGAGACCGAATGGAGAAAAGAGGCTCAATGGAGTGGACCGAATGTTTCTGGGGGGACTTGATAGCATTTAGGGTGAATTCAGCAAACGCCACTAAAAATTGGTAAATGGCGACATTTTAGAATACAAACGCCACTAAAAATTGATAAATAACAATGTTTTAGAATGTAAATGCCACTAAATATAGGTCAATAGTGGCATTTAATTAAAATATGCCGCTAATTAATTATAACAAAAATTGATAATTTTTATTTTAATTGATATTAAAATTTTTTAGTGGCGTTTTTTTGACAAACACTATTATTTTAAAATTTAGTGATGTTTAGATTAACAATGTTGCCACCATTTCAAAAACATCAAATTTAACGACATTTCATAATAAACGTCGCTTAAATTTCTTACTAAATCTCAAGAGTTTTTGGGTCTTTAATGTTATGTACTGACATAGGAAACCCTTCCCAATAAGGTTTTTTTTTTTTTTTTTGGGGGGGGGGGGGGGGGGGGGGGGGGGGGGGATTTGGTGTTTCACTTAATTGTTGTCTGGTTTAATGTTTATGAAGCTCAGAGAGCTTGTATTGTTTGAAACCTGTCATGTTTGAAAAATCACCAATGGTAGTGTCATATTTTTTATTGATTTCACCACCACTATTAACAGAATGATTTTGTCCTCCAATTAACTACTGTATTTCAATTTCAATTCTATATCACTTAAATTACCAATCCAAAGATATTTTCAGAACTACTGCTAGTTAACTTTCTAAATATGCTAAGATTATGGTCTCATCACGTAGGCCCAGGTTCACTAAACGCGTGACAATAATCTATCGACAAATTCATTATCTAGTTGACAATTCAAGTCATATCCTGTGTCAGCTGGAACTTTCAATCTTTTTGTTTGGATGAAAATTTTAAATCATTATCAATGAGCTGTTAGTTCAGTAATATTAGAACCGACTCTATAATTAAAGGTTTCAAGTTTAAATATCTACCGTAACTCAAAAGACCAAAAAAAAAAAAAAAAACTTGAACTATGATACTTTTTCTTTTGTGGCTGATATTCGTTAAGAAAAGAGCTTTTGGTTCTTTGTAATTATCATATTTGATAGGTAATAGGACAATGGAACCAAACACTTCTATTTTTATAATTAATCATACCTAATATAATGGCATTAGGCAAGTTTATCAATAACTTAAGAAATAAATGTTCAGAGGGTAAATCAAACATATATGAATCATTAACCCCTAAACTTAGTAGCCTGGATTAGAGTAAAATTAGAACTTGTGAAGGCAGAATCTGTTCAGCATTGCGCAAGTTCTTCCAGTCCCTTTTTCCATGTTGGATTGTTGAGACTAAAGCCCCCATCAACCGGTAAATTGACACCACTCAGATACTTGGCCTCATCGCTTGCTAGAAAGAGGGCAGCCTGCGCAACATCTTCTGGCTCCAACATCGTCCCTTTCAAGACAGCTGTTGTAGAAATCGCCTCCTCTGCCTTTGTCTTATCCGATAATCCGAACGGTTTCAGAATCATAGGAGTCGCAATTGCGTGAGGAGAAATGCAATTGACTCTAATTCCATACTCTCCTAACTCCACGCTCAAGCTCTTAGTCAATCCTGCAACAGCATGCTTTGATGCAGTATAGGCATGAGGGATACCGACGCAAACCAATGAAGCAATGCTACAAGTGAAGAGAATGCACCCTTTTTTGGCTGGAATCATCACTCTAGCAGCATGCTTCGCACCCAAGAATCCGCCAACCACATTGACATCAAGTACTTTCTTAAAGTTCTCCAAATCTGTAGCTATGGCTCTCAATTCAAACTCACCTGCAACGCCAGCATTATTAAAAATGATATCAAGTTTTCCATAATTGGAGACAGCAAAGTCCACGGCATTTTCTACATCAGTTTCGCTTGTCACATCACAGTGGATGTAACTGATGGGATCCGGGGTTCCAAGCTCTGTGCAGAGAGAGTGGCCTAATTCATCTTGGACATCAGCAATAAGAACCTTGGCTCCATGCTTGACAAACAGCTTAGCTGTGCTCTTTCCTATGCCACTAACACCACCAGTTATCAATGCTACCTTACCCTCTAGCCTGCATCAAAGCAAAAGTTGAGGTTCATTAACAGATATCCAATCCATACATATGGTCTTCACTACAAAATCACATTCAAACATTTGACTCAAAAAACTCGATATTTCCAGATTGAGATATAGAAAACATGAGCTTCTTACCTCTTAGCTACCAAAGAATCAGCATTATTACTCATCGTATGTAGCTCTCAACAAAGAATCCCTCTTCAATATTTTGTTGTGTTCCTATTTTTTTACCTAAGTTGTGTGTATTTCACTTCTTTGTCATCTTCTCTTTATAGTGCAAAGAAAATATGGGCATAGCTCCAAAGTGGAAATTGAAAATTTATTACAGATGAATTAATTAAATTCTGCTTTCAAGCATTGGGACCGAAAGCAATAGGTATTTTTTGGACTATTAGCTGTCTTCCAACATTTCACGATCACGGATTCATGAGTCATCATTGAACCAATTAGCAAACTACTAACACTTTATTTTTTTTAAAAATTATTTATCTATTATTTATTTTTATTTTTACTTTTATCACTTTTAATTGAAAAAAAAAAAAAAAAAAAACCAGCACATTTATTAATATTTTAGATATTATTCGGCGTGCAAGGGACGCGTGAAACATATGTAAATCTTCTGGATATGAAAAATAAAATATCTATATATTAATGGTTAATAAATAATTGTACTTTTTTGGATCAATTTTTTTTACAAAATAGAAATAGATCAATTTTAAAATGAAATGGCACATACATGCATGAAATTGCATGTCATTGTAATCTAAAGTATATTGGTTTTAAACCTCAATTGAAATGATAAAAATAGCCCATAATCAAATAAAAAGTCTAAAAGAGTTTTTTTTTTTTTTATCTTTAAGATTGAAGGACATCTTTATCGATCTACAAGTATAAAAAAATTAAAAAATCATAAAAAATATTAAATTACGAAAAATCAATAATTACAAATATTATAAAAATTGCAAGAATATGGAAAAAAAAATACATAATCAACTGCAAAATGTTATAAAAAATTCAAGGATGGTAAAATTACAAATTCAAACAAAAAAATTTTAAGAATTACTAAGTTTCCAAAACAGTTCTTGAATCAAACAGTCAAAAAAATACAATCAACACAAACAAAAAAATAATCACAAAATAATTATAAAGAGATAAGATTTTTTAAAAAATTACAAATTGCTTCATTAAATTAAGAAATTTTTAATTTCTTAAATGAATGAAATATTAATAAAATAATAATAATAATAATAAATGTTAAGTATAACTTGAACAAAACAATAGAGAAAACTTAATACTTAACAAATATATAATAAATTGTTCAAAAAAAGAAAAAAAATGTGTAATAAAACCAATTAATAAGCCCCATCATGTGTAGATCAAAGCTTAAATTAAATGATTATATTACTACCTTAACCTAAAATCATTTAACAAAAAAAGTAAAAATTAAATCAAAGCTAAATCAACTAAATTAAATGCTTAAATTAATAGGGGAATATTATCACAAAAGGATCAATATTAAATCAAAGCAAAATCAACTAAATTAATTTTAACATTTGATCGATATTATGATTATTGATCTATATGTAGAGTATGTTTTACATTTAAAATTATTTATTTATTCTTATTATTAAAAAAGTAAAAATTTCAATTCAAAATTTTAAAAATATTGACATATTATATCATTCTGTTCGTTTAGAAAAAATTAATTAATAAAAAACTATATACTAGTTTTCTTTAATATCCATGATTCAACAAGTTCATAAAATTAAATACTTCAAATTTCAAAAATACATTCAAAGTAAGAGAAAAAGATAAAGTGAAAAGTGAAAATAAAATCTGTTCTTATATAAGAGTACAATATTAATACATTTAGATTAGAGCAATCTCCAACTATTTTTTTATGGAATTTAAAGTCACTTTAAATTTGGAATTACTGATGATTTGAGGGTTAGTGGTGGAAATAATATTGGTTAGTGGGGTTAATTATAAAAACCAAAATGTTGGGTAAAGCTAAAAAAGTCATTTTCAGTTGATCATTCTTTCTGGTTGAAAATTATGAAAGTTTAGATTATGATTGAACACAAATCAGATCGGTCCTACAATCATGAAAATATGAGGAAAAGAGAGTATTCTTCACTGCCTCATTGATGGCGTGTCCATGGCTCATGGCTGGTTTTGACTCAGTTTTTTTCGTTTTCCTTTTCCCAATTTCTCTAATCTCTATCTCATGTTTAATTGTTTTGGTTTGCTCCCTTCCTATCTACACAATAAATAAAAACTGTCCCCTATCTTTTAATTTAAAACTATATTAGATTTGACATTTAAAATGATTTTAGGGTTAAAAATGCTTTTATAATAATTCACACATAATTGAATAAGGATCTATCTTGGTAATGACTTAAAATAACAGGATAAAAACTACTTACAAAAATTCTTTATCCTAAAAAAAATTGATAACACAAAAAATTAATATATTCTTATATTATAAAGTAAAGAAAATGTATATTAAGTTATCTTATATATTGAGATTAATTTTATAAAAAGATTATAAGTATGAATAAAAATCTCGATCAAGCGAGAGTTAAAATTTAATAATACATAAAAATAAGATAATAATTACTAAATAATTAGTTAATTGAACAAAAATACACTCTTAGAATGACATAATATCAGTCTGCATATATATATATATATATATATATATATTGTGAACGTTGTTTTGCACCTTTCAGTCCGAATTGGATTCGACCAACTTATTGAAACACCCCAAATTAAGAAAACAGGCTCTTAAGAACCGTGGATATTGAGGGATTGGTGGTGCTGTAGCCTCCATCGATGACCAGATTGAGTCCACTTACGTACTTAGACTCATCACTCGCTAAATACAGAGCAGCTTGAGCCCCATCTTCTGGTTCCAACACCGTCCCCTTCAAGTTTGCCCCCATGGAAACCACCTCCTCCAATTTCTCCTTCGCTATCATGCCGAAAGGTCTTCTTAGCAGTGGAGTCGCCACTCCGTATGGCGAAATGCAATTCACTCTTATCCCATACTGCCCCAACTCAACACACAGATTCTTAGCCAACCCCACAAGGGCGTGCTTTGATGTCACATAGGCATGTGCGGCATCAGTGCCAGCTATGACCGAGAATACGCTTGCAGTGAAGAGAATGCATCCTTTCTTGGCTGGAATCATCACTTTGGCAGCGTGTTTGGCACCCAAGTACCCTCCAAACACATTGATATCAAGAACTTTCTTGAATCTCTCATCATCTGAAGAAACTATATTCTCGTCAGGACTGCTTATACCGGCGTTGTTGAACATGATATCAAGCTTTCCATACTTGGAGATAGCTAAATCAACTGCACTTCCGACATCTGAGTCCAACGTAACATCACAGTGAACATATGTGATGTTTTCTTCTCCAAGCTCTTGACAAATAGCTTGTCCGAGATCATCTTGGACGTCTGCAATAAGGACCTTTGCACCATGCTGGACAAAAAGCCTTGCTGTACTCTCACCTATGCCACTAGCACCTCCTGTTATCAACGCCACCTTACCTTCTAGCCTGTAACGGAAGAGATCAAGTAAACAGGGTTAATTGGAACCGTTTAAATAAGGCAATGATTTCTGGGTTTTTTCTGTACCTTCTTAGGTTCAAAGCCACTGAAGAACCGGTACTCATCTTTCCTCTAAAATCGATGAGAAATCACAGCTGCATATTTTATTTTCAAGGACGCTTCAGCCTGAGGGAATGCAGTATTCTAAAACAATGTCTATTCAAAATTTTGGTCAATTGCGTACACTTTCTTTTTAACGAATATTCTTGCAAAAGGTTTGAGAAACAGTCTAAGCTGTATCAAGAAATCTTTATTTAAAAATAAAACAAAGCATAGTTGGTGCCTTGCTTTTGACATTATGGGTGACAGAAGGGCTCAACTGGGTCCTTACCCATGTGGGAGAAGGCGATTGACAAGATAAGAATTAATAAAGAATGTGGTGTAATACCAAATCCTAAAACTTTATTCTAAAATGTAAATAATTTTTTTATTCCATGAAATTAAGGCTATAAACATTTATTACATCATAATTAAAATATTGACAGTATAAAATGTTCAATTTTATTTAAAATTTTTATTGGATAATTTAATTTGTAGAATATTTTTATTTATATTCACTGCAATGAATTAAATGACAAATATTTAAAAAATATATTATTTTAAAAATTCTATCAATTTAATATTATTCATCTAATTTTATGATTTAATGACTATAATTACAATAAAATCAAAATTCATAATCTTAATTTCATATAATAAAAAATGAAGGATTATTTAGGTATTAAGCCTAAAGAATATTAAATAGGAGTTTAGATTTGATGCATTATGTATACATGCTATATACTACTAGTGATAATGACAACTCATAAACAATAATTTTAAAATTTTAAAAGGTTAAAAAGAAAATAAACTTAATTTTAAAAATATATTTAAAATTGTTATTATTTTTTTGATGAGATATCATAGTGTAGTTCATTATAGAATTGTAAACCGATACTTTAGTTAAATAAAAACAGTCCTTGGATATTTTGTTACAGATCATTTTCAAACTTCATTTCTGGAAGAGACAAAAAAAATTAAAATTCTACATAGTAGAACTTTGAGACAACCCCAAATGAAACAGAAACTAACACACAAAAATGAAGTCACCAAGAATAATGGAATCCAAAAACCATGGGTTCCAACCAAAACTATCAAATTTTGAAACACCAAATTAAGACATTAGGCTTTGGATAGTCATCGTCAAGGAGGGATTGGTTATGCTGCCTATAACCTTCATGAACCAGCAGATTCCAACACCTTTTCTTTCAAGTTTCCTGCTCTGGAAACCGAACTCTCCACCATCTCTTTTTCCATCATTCCCAGGCCCACTTATCCAAAAAAAACTCAGCCCCATTTAAGGTTATATTAAAGACCAAACAAAACGAGGGCCTGACTTGGTACTGGTTTTGATTCTGTACTAATAAAATCTATAAGCCTTCCTTGTTGTGTAATTGCCTTCTAAATTTCCCCTTTGAGTTGGTTTCTTCCCTATAGATAACAATAATCACAAATCAGAACAAGAAGAGAGAGCATATCCAAATGATTCCTTGGGAATTTAAGACAATCAGCGAAAACAATGAATGTGTGTTTGATGTCCCCTTTTTAGGGTTTAACATTTCTTCAAGGTTTTGATGTCCAAATTTTACAGAAAAATTTCAAAAGAATGACTTCTTCATATCAAAAGCAGATATCATCTTCGTCATTGTCTTCGGCCGATATAATTGCTAGTAATGATGATATTATCATGGAGATTCTATTGCGTTTGCCAACAAAAACAGATATCAAGTTCTAATTAGTATCCAGAAGGTGGCTCTATCTTATCTCAGATCCCAATTTCATCGTTCGCCATTTTCGCCAGAATGCTAAAACTACTGTCTCCGGTTTTGTCCTAGCTTGTCTCTTGTTTTTCAAAATTCCACCAACATATATGCATGTTTCCTTAGACGAAAATGAAAAGTCTACCCAAGGCCGAGCAATTCACCTCTCTTTTGACCTTTGTGACACGGGATCTATCATGATCTCGCAGTCTTGCAATGGCTTACTTCTATGTTACAGCCAATGGTACGGGTCTCCTACTCCTTGCATTTATTACATTTTCAACCCTGCCAACAACAAATTCTCCATTTTCCCTGAACCCTTTGGGCATAAAAGCTCTATAAATTTCTATAGTTTAGCACATGACCCAAACATATCACCTTGCTGTCAGGTTTCTTGCGTTCAGTTCTTTAAACCAAGTTGTAATGTTGAGATATATTCATCTGAAACAAAAATTTGGAGGAATGCTGGAAATCATGATTATGGTTCTCCATAAAATTTCGACATGGAGTCTTTTCATTGGGTGAATTGTTATGATAGAAATTCGTCTGGCTTTGAATTTGAGCAGGAAACACTGCAAGCAATGCCACGGCTTCCACTTCCTGAGAATTGGAATTCTAATAATTTCTGGCATTTCATGGAATCTCAAGGCCATTTGTTCTTCATAGATTTTGACTGTCCTGAATACATCATATATGAAATGGAGAAAGACTGTTCAAAATGGACGGTAAAGTATCATCTAGATATAAACTTGATTGTTATGAGTGCATTTCCAGACATGACCGAAAACAAAGAAATTTCTTCAAATTCGGTACTGCTAGAATTGAAGAATTTCATCTATCTGGTGTCAATTGTTGAAGTTAAAAATGAAGGGCCATCGTTGGTGCTATACGTACCTGGTAGGTTTATATCTTATAGACTCAAGGATAATACTCTCAAGACTCTTCATGATGTTATATTTCATGATTCAAAGCGTTTCCAGTGGTATCATAGTTTTAGTTACATGGAGTCACTGTCCTACGTTTGATTAGAGTATTAAATTTCTAATCGATAGTTCTTTTGGAAACTTGTTTTATGACTTATCAGTAGTTGAATATCAAGCTTAAGACTTGTTTGGCAGCAAGGCGGGAGCCCTTTCTTGCCACGTAGGAATGTTACCGTTTTTCTGGAGTCCCCTTCCAAGGTGGAATGAGGCTAGAAAATTGTTATCCTAGAGGCTTGAAACTTTTTCTGGTCCGTTGCATTCTTTCTTTAATTGAGTATTTTCTTTTTCATTTTTTTTTGGTTACATATGATCTTAATTTATGCTAGAGAAGACAATCTTCTCATACAAAATTCGTCCCTTCAAATTGAAAATTTGAACTAAGATTTCCAACTCCAAATTGAAGTTTAAAGTTCTAACTATTGGGTGCTATTGGGGATTTCTTTAGGAATTTTTAATATATATTTTGAAAATACTTTATTAATATTCCTTATTAGCTGAAATGGTGAAGTATAATTAAATGTTCAATTGCAGTTCATATGAATTTTTTTTTTAACAAAAAATATTATAATCTGAAAATAAAAGAAGGGATTACATGGATTGAATCACAAATAATATTTCACGTCAATGTTTAGAAATATAAGTATAATAGAGAACAGAAAGACTGACAAATGATGGGCTAGCTTTGAAAGAACGAACTTACTTCCAAGGAAACGAGATATCTTCTACCGTCATTTACCAACCGTTTGAAATGGATCCAGTCATAAAGATGCAATCGTTCAAAGACAACTTTTGATGCAGAAATTCAGTTTCACAATCCAATGATCATAGCCTAATAACTTGTCAACTTGGAAATCAAGAAAGGAAAAGCCTACATTTAATCGGAAACTATTTAATAGTTTAGTCAAATTTGGTAGGTCAAGAAATAAGTGTACAAGAAAGAAATTGCTAAGTTTTCATGATTAGAGTTCCATGATTGAAAAATAAGTACACCTTACAAAATTTGCGCTTGGTTCTTTTTCCAAATTTTTTTTTGTTAAATATTTGTTTTCGGAACTCTGAGAATCTGTAATAATATGGCACATTAATTTTTTAGTAAATTTTGTTTATTATGATAACGTTTTAAATTAGGTGTCTCATTTAGTTTAGGGCTAATTAATATGTAATGGCTTCCATTTTTTGTTAAATTGGTGGCAGTGTTCAAATGGAAGCAGAAGCACTTGAAAAAGATATCGTGAACCCTAAATTTATTGTCATTATATTTGATAATGTCTTTATTTATCTCTAACAATTATAATTATAGTAACAAATTTTAAGCCTTACCATAGTTTTTCTTTTAGTCATTAAAATTAATCTTTAATTATTATTATTATTATTATTATTTGAAAGTCAGCCGTGGAATGGTATGCAGGGAAGGTGATACTTGTCAACAAAAATTAGTATCCGATGACTTGAAGAAGTAAACTAAGCCCACTAAAGAGTTCTCTTACGTATATTTTTCTTGCCGAATTAAGCGTCCGACACCGTATTTTATTTTACTGAATTTCATTGACTTGTGAATTCTTTCACTACATTAATATTATGTTAGGTACAAAAGAAGATAAATGTAGTCACATTTAGATCAGGTTTACTCAGTACTAAGCAATTGCAACTCTTTTTCTCAAAAAAAAAAAAAAAGTATGATTTTTTTTTTTGTATTTGTATTTGGTATGAAAAATAAAAAATAAAAAAGTTTAAAAGTATAATTACAAATAAATTATTTAATTTAAATAGTAAAATTTATTTTCTTTCTATTTAGAAAAATTGAAAAAGATGCAAATCCATTTATTTTCTTTCTTGCTTCTCCTATCAAACAAAGAAGGGTCCCTCTCTTTTCTTTCGTTCTTTTCTCTTACTATACGTAATGTAAACTCTTTAATACTTTTATCTTTTGTTCCCTAAATTCTTTGGATATATGCTTCTGAAAACTCTTTCCGTTTTCCTCTATCCTTTTATAACCGACTTTTTCTTTGTTTCTTTGTTTTTTTTCTTATGAAAATTGTTATTTTTTGTTCTACCAAACAGATTTGACCGCACATCAATAAGGAAAGGTTTTGAAATGGTAAAAAAATACTCCAATAGATTTGGACTTTGAATATGTGGTAGAATCGTTCGTTAACCTACACTTTAAAATGAATTAACCTTATCGTGTGAGTTATGACATATTTTATAGTTAATACTATTTCATAGAAGAGCTGCAATTTGAAAAATAAATTAAAAAATAAAGTGTTGCAAGTTTAGGAATATGAACCCTAAATTTATTAAAAATCACCTATTGAAAAAATCACTAACTAGGCTGAATCCTAGGTTCACCGTGTCCTATTTAATTTTTACCCTAGTAATCTTATACCAAGAGAACAGAATATTATTGTTGCAGATGAAGATGATATACGTTCCTGGAATGATACAAATTGAAATGGACTTATCTTTGTCACATATATCTGAAAGAATTTCAAATATTGCTGCCATCTTGACTTTTTGTTGTAGACACAGATTTTGTCTAGGTCTATATTTTTTATAATTAAAAAAATTAAATTAATTAAAAAAAATTAAATTTTAAATCAAATTAAAAAAAAAAAAAAGATAAACAGAAAATCCAAATAAAAGAAGAAACAAATTAGAAAGAGCTAGTGTCAGCGGGTGCCGTGCATGGCACCGCTGGCCACCCACGCCCTGCCACTACTCCCCACGCCCTGCCACTACTTCAGCCATCATATCATCCCCTCATCCAGTCCTTTCACTCCATCAGCACACACTACCACTGTTTCTAACTTTATAAAATATTCGATCTTCCTCCTTTCAAATCTAGTCGAAACTCTCAAATATCTCCTCACTAAAATACCAAAAAAAGACACACCCCTACCAATAACCTCTCAGATGAAAAAATCCAAGCAACCCCTAAAATATCCGAACAAAAAAATAAACAGATCTATGAAAATCAACACAAAAAAACCATAAAACAAAAACCACAGTCCTCGTCGAATCGACGAGGAATCCAGCGCCAAGAAGATACCTGCAACAAAAAGAAAGGTTGTTAGTTTGAGTTTAAAAAAAAAAAAAAAAACAGAAAACTTTGAACCCTGATCTACATCAATCGGGGTCATTTCTGGCGAAGAAGAGACTGGATCTGAAAAGATCACGTCGAAAGGAGCTTCCAAGAGGATTTCAAAATTTTCGATCATCGGCGACCACCATCGGCGGTGACCCAGGCGGCGGTCGATGCGACAATCCGACGACCGGATTCCGACGGGGCCAGAAAGAACCCAGAGCTCTAAAAAAAAAAATTTTGTGTGAAAATGGTGAAATGAGCTAAAAAAAAAAACTAAATTTTATAGAAAACATTAAAAGCAAAACGACGTCGTTTTGAGCATAGGGCCAAAACGACGTCGTTTTCGGTCAAGAAGGATCTGCGCGTTGACTTGGATCCGACCCGAGATTCGAGCACCCGACCCGTTAACCCGTTCTTTTTCACAGCTGCTGACCGATCCAATTGAGCCGAATCGAACCGCTTTCTAAACCGATCCAAATCGTTCCTCAACCGGCTCAACTGAACTGCGCGTCGAACCGACCCCTTTTCGATCCAACCGAACTGCTGTTGACTTGTCCGATTCAAGTAAAAAAAATTTTTTTAATTTTTTATATATTATTATTTTTGTTATTTTAAGTATTTTTTTATATATTTATGCATGATAAGTTTTAAATTTGTTAGGATAAGTTTTTTAATTGTTTTAATAATAATAAAAATAAAAGTAAGTAAGATAATAATTAAAAATATATATTAAAAATGCTTAAGATAATAATAATAATAAAAAAATTATTATTATTATTTTTCCTGCCTAGATGTTGGAGGAAATAAAAATATATATATTTTCTTAAAAATAATTCCGCCTTGGGGAATTATTATTAAATTTTCATAAAAAGAAATATATAAGAAATTTTTAATTAGTTTTCAAAAATTATAAAAATTTGAACTTGCTCCGAAAGTCCTCCTAGATAATGGAGATTTTTAGAAATGTTCGCGTTTTAATTAAACCCCAAACCCTAGACTTAAACTCTAAACCTTTACCCTAAATCTATTTCAAAATCTTAAGGATACGTGTGAAAATCTCACATGAAATTATTTGTTCCCGAATGCTGTCTAAATGATAGAGTTTTTAGGAAATTCCATTTCATTAAGTTTTTCACACGAGTTCTTAATTCACATTAATAATAAGATTAATAAATAAAAAGTATAATAATAAATTGAAATCTTAAATATAAACAGTCGCACCTAAACTTTACCTAGATGTTTGAGAGTTGAGGTAGTCTCATTATATTTAAGAACCCAACTTTTAAATTGCATTTCATTTTACATGACATTCATTAGCATATATACACTAGCGTGTTATTATTAATAATTGTCAGCATTATTCTCTTTTTAATTTACTGTTTGATGATAAAATATTTTATAATAAAAAAAGAATAATACATTTAAAAAAAATTTGTGATATTATAAAATAAATTAAAAATAACATTCTGAAGGAAATAATTATTGGTACTCTACTTAGATGTTAGAGAGCCACTAACAATTATCTTCTATAAAGATTGTTATTTCATTTTAAGGATTATCATGTTAAAGCTTAAGCGAAAAAAGTTATTATAAATTCTGCCTAGATGTTGAAAAATTCTAAAATAATTCTTTAACTTCAAGATTTTCTTGATATCCCTAAATAAAGAGCTTTAGCATAATTTTATTTTTTCAAATGAAGGGAATTGCTATTAAATTTCAAGTCAAAATCATTTTTATCCAACACCGAAAATAGCGCATAATTAAATGGTACCAATTTATGAGGGTTGTGGGAGTGCTAATCCTTCCTCACACGTAATCGATTCTCGAGTCTAACCTGATTTTTCGCATACCGAAATTTATCTTTTTTATAAACTTTAAACTCGTTTTTATTGTTTTATTAAAAAATAAATTTTTGGGTGATCAATCACATCCTAAAAAAGATTGGTGGTGACTCTCCATTTACTTTGATTTTAAAATTTTTTTACGTCTGACAGTCTCAAAATCGTTACGACAGTTGTAAATTGGCATTCAAGATTTTTTTTTTTTTTACAACTTGTAACACGGTATCAAAAGACGAAACTTCTGTAAATCTCGATCGATCTTTCTATTTTTTTTAAATCAAATCTAGCTATGCATATATTATTTCTGAAATTCGGAGGATTGATTGGTAAGAATTTGCTAAAATGACTTGCCATATGTTTTAAACTTAATTTTTAACAAACATGACATGATTTCTAATTGCTAGGCCTTTAACTAATTTTTCAGACATTGTAGTAACAATCATTATTATTGTACCATGATTCACGCAGTGTCCAAAAGAATTAAGGACATTGTTTAGTTTTGGTCCACGGGAATTTAAAAAATAAAGTTTTTCCATTGATCTTCACTTAGTTTCTCTATAAATGCTTGCACACAACTGAAAGAAAACACCTAAACAGCCAAGCCTCAAATTTCTTCATCTAATTCCCTGATAAATTCAAAAACTTTCACGTACGTGAAATGAGCATCGCAATGTCTCAGAAAAGGTAACAAAGAACTCGCACCCTAATTTCTGCTATTGTATGCTTGAATTCTGTAGCACCTGTTAGATTATTTTTTTTTTTAGTTTTTTCCTTTGTCGGAACTTAAGCCCTCTCTTGATTTTATTCCAATTTCCATAGATAATCATATTCTTTAAATATATATATTGCTGGGTTTTGGTACCACAGCAAATATATATATAGTTTTCCTCTTTTGAATTGATTTATATGTAAATTATCAAATATACTCCATATGGAGAACAATTTTTTTATGTATTTGAAATATCTAGCAATTAGCTAGTAAAAAATAAAGAAAAAGAAATAGCATTGCCTGGTTTTCTTCCATGCACTTTATAATTCTTAATACACATATAATCTTCAAATTTCAGGCTTGAAGACAAGGTGGCAATTGTAACGGGTGGTGCTAGTGGGATTGGAGCTAGTGCTGTGCATATTTTCCATGAAAATGGTGCCAAGGTGGTCATTGCTGATATCCAAGACCGCCTGGGCCAAGCCATAGCTGATAAGCTTGGGGAAAATGTTTGCTTCATCCATTGCGACGTATCAAATGAAGATGATATCTCCAATCTTGTTGACACCACCGTCTCTATTTATGGAAAGCTCGATATTATGTACAATAATGCAGGCATCATGGACAGACCAGTCGGAGGGATTGTAGATGCTAAAAAATCAGATCTGGAAAGGATGTTTGGAGTTAACTTGGTTGGTGCTTTCCTTGGAGCCAAACACGCAGCAAGGGTGATGATACCCCACCATAAAGGTTGTATACTGTTCACTGCCAGTGCTTGCACTTCAATTGCAGGGCTTTCATCTCATTCCTATGCCGCTACAAAGTATGCAATTCTGGGGTTAGCTAAGAACTTGACGGCTGAATTGGGGAAATACGGTATAAGAGTAAACTGTATCTCGCCTTACGCCGTGGTAACTAGCGTGCCAGGCATTACTGAAGAGCAGAGATCGAAAGTAGAACAAAAACTAAGCAATATGGGCAATCTCAAAGGTGAAATTCTCAAGCCAGAATGTGTCGCCATGGCTGCACTATACCTGGCTAGTGATGAAGCATATTATGTGAGTGGACTCAATCTTCTGGTTGATGGAGGGTTCAGTGTTGTGAATCCTACCATGATCAAGTTTGCTAACCTTGTTTAGTAACTAAGAAATCAAGCCATTGGCCTTTGAAAATTCTCTTTTCTTTTTAAATTTTTTCTGATGCGAAACGTGAGACTTTTTTGCAGCTATATGTATAAATAAACACATCCATTGTGATGTCAGTTGAGTGATATATATCACTGATTTACAATAATTAATCATTTTTTTTGTTGCATACATGAAATTGGATTATACGGTGTAAGTTTTGTTTGGATGGAGAAAGGAACTCAAGTTTTTAGATGCAAAATATTCCAAACTTATGTTGCACTACAAAGAATTTAATGAAATTTCATTTGAAAGGGTAAGCTTGACTTCTAGCTAACTAAACATTCGCCCACATGCCCATTTTTCAGACAAATTTGCATCAATTTTTTATCCAACTCCTCAAATTTGAAAAACCATATGTAAACACTCTGTACCAAATCATTAGAAATCAAAATCCCCGAGTATTTTCTAAAACATTTGCTTGTACATGTAATCTACGCAAGACATTATTTTAATACGTAGATACATATGCAGTAATTTTCTGATACTGTCATCAGTACTCAGATATATCAAATTAATATCAGCTCTGAAATTGAGAGATTTTGTTTTGTAATGTAGGCTTAACACATGTACAATACAATATATATTTAATTTCTAAATTGAGGTGATCAATCTCTATTTTTTATCCTCTAGTCAAGATCTGGCACTGAAAGCTTCTCCCTCTTTGTACGAGTTATGGAAATGTGTGGGAGTGCTGCTTTACCTTAATTATGTCGGGTTATTTTCATCATATTTTTATGAATTTAGATGTCCCTGCCCCCTTTGTACTTATTTCCGCAATAAATAAAATTATATTGGCTTTCAAAAAAAATTTTGAGTACAAAAGTAATCATCTATATATATATTTTACTACGGAGACTAAGGCTTAAAGGTGAGTTAAGAATTTAAATTTGTAACTGTTGGTGCTTATATCTTAATCTTATTGGAATCCATTTTTTTAATTAGGTGAGTGATCAATTATCTTAGTTATTTCTGTACAATAAAAACATAAAATTTTATTTTAAAAAAATTGGAATAGTTCAAGAGTTTTTTTAGTATTTTAGCCTTCCAAATTCATCTGAATGTACTTATTTGACATTTAAAAAAGCTTAATGATATCTTTAACTGCTAAAATTGAGTATAATACTGTTTATTTATAAAAAGTTGCTTTTGTAAAATCCAGTAAAAAATCCAAATATGAATTTAGAGTCTTAATAGAAATAAAAAATTTATATTCAATGTAGTGTCAATATATAATGCTCTATACTGTTAGTTAAGTGGATAACAGCATCTCATTAAAATTTTATTTTAAATATTTTTTAGGATTAAATGTATTTATTTAATCTTTAAAATATTAAAATTTTAAAATTAATTTTTTATAAGGTATCATTGTATGATTAATTGACAATATATAATATTTATACATAGATAATATATCAAATAAAAATAAAAAATAAAAAAATTTGTGTTCAATACACTATCAGTATATAATGCTATATATTATATTAAACTAAACAACGATAATTTGTATAAAAATTAATTTTAAATATATTTTTAAATTTTTAAAATTAATTTTTATGAGTATCGTGTGTAAAGGTTTGTTATATTACAAAATAGGGGTTCAAAGAATGTTCTTATATTTAGTTTTGGTTGCGCCAAACTTTTCCAATGTTCTCCAACATTTTTCTTTTGGTTTCAGTGTATCTTTGTTGTTCTATAAAATTTCTATTGCAATTAGCTAGGTCTATAAAGCCGCTTAATCGATCTAGTGTTGAGCCGATGAAATCTATCCATTCATCCCTTAAATAATCATCAATAATTTAATTAATTCTGCATATAGTACTAATAATAGAACCAATCAAATCATATATATTATAAGGAAAATCCGAAAAGGGACGCCATCGAGGCACGTTACCATCTTCCATCAGCTATCACGTTTTGTGATTAAGCTTGATCCATTCTTCTGATCTTGCAATATATTAAGATTGTTAATTATATAAGTTCGATTTTCATTTTTCCCAATTTGAAGAAACATATCTTTATCAACATACAAATGATTTTCTTTTTCATATTCTCATGTGTAAGGAATTGATTATGATTATAGTTTCTTCTGATGAATGTAATTTGTTGATATCCAAAAGATGATGGGCTGGAGTGGTTGTGAAGCATATATAGCATTTCTAAATTACTTTAACTATTTAATATTATATTCCTTTCTTTCCACAAAATTATGAGTGTCATTATACAGCGTAATCTATCAATCATTAGTGAGGAAAATCCCAAGCCAGAAACCAATTGCCTTTGGTTTCTTCCTCTTCTCTGCTTGATTTCAGATTTGTTTAGAGAAAAAATTAGCAATGTTTCTTCTTTGATACCACCCCTTAAAAGGTAATAAAATACTCCAACTAATTCTATAAGATAATTTCGCATGCAAAATATAACATAATTATATATACTCATTTGTTAAGCAAAAACGAAAATGAGAACTCAACTTGAATTATTAGTCGTTGAATAATATCACAATACGAAAATTATTTAATTTTACAATATAAATCTTTCATACTAAATACAAGAATTTCTCACTAAAAGTTATTCAAATGCTTGGCTGATTCTCTCCTTTTCCGTTTTTTCTTCTCATGAGAGACTTTTCTCTCTATTCATTTTTTTTTTTGGCCGAATGGCTTTTTTTTATTAACAAAAAATGGGCGAAATTTTGGTTTTGGAAACTGCTAGTTTCTGTTTATTCTTTTTTTTTTTCATGAGGTTACCACCCATTATGGGTGGTTGTGCCTCTTTGTATAATGGGCGGTTACTAACAAGTTCTAATTATACTACTTAGCAAATTGCTCCGAAGCTAATTGATTATTATAGCAAATGGTTTCATGGTGGGAATTTTTTGTTAATATATGTCAAAATAAGTTTCTTCTTTTTTTTTTCTTGAGGAGGGATAGATTAAGAAAATATATATCCTGTTCTGAGTCTGACTGTACATTTAAAATTGAGGGATTATTGAAGTCAACAGGCTCTTACACCATTGTTGCCTTATTTTGCAATGCTTTGTTAATGGCATTTAAAATTTTAAATTAAGAATTGAAATGTTTTTTTTTTTTTTTGGGTAGTAAGACTTGGGATGTTAATTATTATTATTATATATATGTATATGTGCATAAATTTTTACTAATTTATTTTTTAAATTGAAAAACAAGTATCGCCTTACTAAAAAAAATAAAATTTTATAGCACCGACAAATACAAGTGATCATATGGAAATACCAACCTTGCTGAAATTGTTGGGTTTAGAATATAGAAAGTTGGATCTTTGTTTAGGGAAGTAAATTGGACTTGTTAGCTACCATTAACAACATTACGTAGACGCAATAGAATATGAAGGTATTAATCAAATATTACGTGAAGGTATAAGCTTGAAATTTAGTTTCTTGTATCCAACATTCCAACTTGATTTACCTGATCAGTCTGTCTGCCATATACAAGCGTAATTATTTTATGAACAAATTAACTGTCATAAACCAAACATGGTCACCTAATTTCCGAAGGCCAATTAAGGCTAAGCAGCTTTGGCAACAAATTTACGGCCCATGATGATGTAATGTAAGTAACGAAATTCAAAACTTTTACTTGCATTGTTGGGTGTAAGACTTTAGAAAGTGGACCCGTTCATCTCTATGGCAAAGTCGAATTAAACAATTCGTTTTTGTTGTAATCGAAGGTGCGTAGTGGTAATAAATGGAGTTTTGATCTGATGAATTTTTTTTTTTGTATGAGTTATAAAAAAATCTTGATGTGATTTGTACATAATATTAGAAATCATAACTGAAATGATCAGATTTATTCAATTGAAATATTTAAAGCAAAACAAATTTATTTTGTTTCTACAAATGAGATCAAAACTCAAATTAAATATTTCGATTGTGAAACAGATTAAGGATATGATCCGATTTCGATTGTGGGAATTATACAATATTGCATTTGATGAAGTTAATAAAATTTTCTGTGGGAGATGGGATCTAAAAAGAAATAATTTTATAATATAATTTTGAAGTTCCTATAATTGTTGTACAATTCATTGGATGCAGTGAATTCACTGCTTATGAAAATAATAAAATTGCAAATTATCCAAAAAAAAAACTCAAATTAAATGTTGCTTCATGAAAGGGTAAATTAGGCTTTTAGCGTTGGTAATTTCTGGTTTGTAATTATAGCCATTCAGTGCTTGTACTTATTAATGAAATTAGGCAGAATTAATTAACAGGCAGAGACATAAATCCTTCATAAAATTTATTACAAAATATAAAACAAATTGTAAGCAGGGAATTGACATGGTTGCATGAAAAAAAAAATCGAGTTACATCGATGTAAAATTAATTAATTTTACTTGTTTATAATTTTATGTGCAATTAATATTTTAACAAAATCATTGTTAGATTTAATAAAATAATGGTATTTGTCATACACATAATTTTTCAAATCAATCTGATCTCACCGTCATATTGATCTAAAATTTACTTTTTAATATATATGTTATGTATGAAAGTTTTTTTTTTATATAAAATAAATATTATCTTTTAATATTAACATCTATTAATTTGAGTGATAAAAAATTTGATTTTTTTTTAATAAGATCTTGATTTTAAATCTTGTTACATGAAAAAATAGACTTTAAAAAATTTATCCCTCTTATAAAATTTGATTTAACTTAACTTTAGATTAATTAAAATCTAAAATAATTATCGGACATAGAAAGTCTTAGACAAAAAAAATATATATTATCTTTTAATTATTTCAAAATTTGATCTGCTTTAATAGAATGAAATAAATAAATAAATACAACTGTAGAATTAAATAATATCAACCGTATAATAGATAAGTCTTTGATCTAGTTTTAAAAGAAAAGTCAAAACATATGGGGCGGCGCCTCATCCTTGATTGAGCAAGAAGTTGAACACATCTTACCTATTTTTTATTTGACAAATAAAAAAAGTGTGAAACAGTTAATTATATCGACATATATATTTTTTTATTTAAATTATATAAAATAACTATGTTATTGAAAAAAGTTAAACATTTATTATACATTATATATGATAATTAAATATAAAATATTTATTTTAATAAATTAATTAATTATTTTATAATAAATAATTAATTTTTTAAATAATATAATTATATGATATGATTTAAATAAAAAAGATATAATAATTCTCTTTCTAAAGAACTAATCTAAATCAAACTCTTTTTTTCTTTTGAAAAAGGTATTGGAATCAAATTTTGAATAAAGAGATATATTACATCAACCATGGATCCAAATAATCAAACGCAATAAACTTATTATTATTATTATTATTATTATTATTATTATTTTACAGAGGATGATATAATCCAAAAGAAATTATATCATATGGACGACAAAACCGTATATTTAATTTTCAAAGAAATATCGTATTCCTGCAACAATATAACATATAATATAGATATTATATAATATTTACGTATTATGAATTTATATTATAAAGAGAGGCTTAGCTAAATTTGAAGTGGGATTTATCTTGAAGAATGATCTCAAATTTTTCTTATTAAAAAAAATTTGAGGTTAAGTTGTTGAATTGACCTTTATAGGGTGGCTCCGTCTATAATGCCTTAAATAATAGTAGTAAATAATGCTTGAACAAATTTTCGAACTCAGAGAATTCCGGTATACTGGGCAAATGCATGCATTTCGGCTCGTAGGATTGTTTTGTTAGACCCTAAATATAATGTATTTTACTTCATCCGAGCAACCAATTTTTATGGGTTATAAATTCTTGGCTTGGAATCACTATAAACTCCTCAAACGCTGTTTCATATTCTCCTTTATGCTGAATACTGCATTTTCTGAGCAAAAGATGAGTAATCCTGGAATTTCCTCTTTGGCATCACCTCGTAGAAGGTAATTGTCAATGATCTCTCTCTCTCTACTTCTTACTTTGAAACGGAAAAATTAGGCCAGTAGGCTTATTTGTAAAGTCCCTTACATTGAGAAAGAAAATTGGCATTTGAGAAATTATTAATGTTTCTGTCACTCAAATTAGGAATGGGACGATATGAAAATGATAAAAAAATAAGATATAAAATTATATGATTTAAAATTTAATAAAAATTACAGAGTTTGAAAAAAATAAAAAATATATATTTTTATGTTTATATATCCATACGAATTTGATACGATTTTTTTTTTATTTTATATGTATTTGATATAATATAGATAGGAATTATCAGATCTTACTTCAACTTATTACATATTCAAATTTGAGGTTTACAGGCAATTCATAACCTCTCAAGTTAATCATTTTGGGTTGAATACAATATTCTGTTAACTCTCGGCTCCTTTTTCTTAAAATTTTCAAGGTTAGAAGGCAAAGTAGCAATCATAACTGGTGGCGCGAGTGGCATTGGAGCTAGCACAGCTCGCCTTTTCCATGAAAATGGTGCCAAGGTCGTAATTGCCGATATCCAAGATAGCCTAGGACAAGCCATTGCCGACAAGCTTGGTGAAAATGCCTTCTACATCCACTGTGACGTTTCAAATGAAGACGATGTCAGCAACGTGGTTGACACCACCATCTCCAAACATGGAAAGCTTGATATAATGTACAACAATGCAGGCGTCTTCGATCGTCCGTTAGGCAGCATCTTGGAAACTACAAAATCAGACTTAGATCTCGTAGTTGGAGTAAACTTGGTCGGAGCTCTTCTAGGAGCCAAGCATGCTGCTAGAGTCATGATCCCTCAGCGTAAAGGTTGTATAATTTTCACTGCCAGCGCTACCACAGCAGTTGCAGGGATGGCGAGCCATGCTTACACAGCATCAAAATATGGAATAGTGGGACTAGCTAAAAACTTGGCAGCCGAGCTAGGCCAATATAGTATAAGGGTAAATTGTGTCTCACCTTTTATTGTTGCCACTCCCATGTCTGCGCCTACCGAAGGTGATGTTCAAAAAGTAGAAGCAATTTCGAGTGCAGTGGGGAACCTCAAAGGGAAAGTGTTGAAAGCAGAGGGAGTGGCACAAGCTGCGCTATATTTGGCTAGTGATGATGCAAATTATGTGAGTGGAGTCAACCTTATTTTGGATGGAGGATTCAGCATTGTGAATCCTACCATGATGAATGCTTTTAACCTTGTTCCATAAATTGGGAAATTTGCAATTTGATCAGTGTCTCTTACAGTACAAAATAAGGTTGTGAGTGTGTTCGGTCTTGCTAGAGATCCTTGCTTTTTAAACAATGGATGGGTTGTATGCATGAACAGAGGTGACTTTGAATTCTAATTAAGATTGTCTGGGACCCTATTTATTGAAATAAATATGCAATCCTCTACCAATCGAGGTGCATTTTGCCGGAAGGTTTTTTATTATTTTCTTGACAAGGTTAAATGACATGACAAGTAAATTAAAAATTTTTCAAAGATAAAAAAGATTATATTAATAGAAGATAAACATAAAGAATCCGAATCTGAAATTTATATTAATCCGATTCATGCAATCATGAATTATTTTTAAAAGATTTTATTTTAGTATTTATAATTTTTTTCTTCATTTTCAAAGATTGTACAGAAGAGTAAAAATATACAAAATAAGATAGAGATTAAAATAAACAAAAGAAAAACCAGCCACTCGTTGCATCAGAACAAAGTAGCACTCTTAAGTGATTTATCAACAATCAAAATCACCAAACAAGTGAAAACAAGGAAATAAAACACAACCACAAAAAAAAAGTTATTTAAAATTAAAATATACTAATAGAGTTTTAATATTTTAATGATTAAGGGAAAATTCTAATTAAGATGTGTCTCTTTCTTGAAAACTTTAAGTACGCATTTTCATACATTGATCTAACAATCAAGATTTTATTCTTAAAGTATCATAATAATGAATCTTAAACTTCATCCTAATTAAATTTTTATACAACCTTAATAATTTATACAATTTTAATTGCAAGCTAATTAATAGCAAAATGTTGAACTCAAGAGTCTTCGGGGTATTGGAACATGTGGGATGACGGATTAAGATTAAAACCCCCATCGATAAAGAGATTGTGCCACTAATATATCTACCCTCCTCACTTGCTAGATAAAGAGCTGCATTTGCTACATCTTCTGCCTTGAGAATCACACCCTTAAGGTTAGCTAGCCAACTCACCTCTTCTCAAGTTCCTCATCATTAACCCCCCGGAATTTCGTCGCTAAAGGCGTTGCAAGAGCGTAGGGAGACAAGCAGTTAACTCTGATCCCAATTTGCCCGAGCTCAACAGCAGCACTCTTTGTAAGTCCCAGGACAGCATGCTTTGAAGCACAATAAGCATGTGAGGCAGAACCACCAAGTACCGAGCTTATGTCAGAAGTTGAAATTATGCTACCACTTCGAACAGGAACCATCACCCTACCTGCGTGCTTGATCCCTAGGAAAACGCCAGTAACGTTTACGCTAAGAACACGTTCAAAATCTGATTTCTCATTGTCGATTATGCGAGCCTTGTGGGGATCACATATGCCGGCGTTGTTGAACATGATGTCTGGCTTGTCATGAGTAGCAACAGCTTTGTCAGCAGCATTTTTTATTTGGTCTTCATCTGTATCGTTGCAGTGCACGTAGGAACAGTTCGAAGGGCCTATGTCGTCGCAAACGGAATGGCCCAATTCATCTTGGATATCAGCAATCACAAATTTGGCTCCATGGTGTGCAAAGACTTTAGCAGTGCATTTCCCAATACCACTCGCTCTTCCAGTAATTAGAGCTAACTTCCCCTCCAGCCTGCAGATGATGGTTGAATAAGTCATGTAGTTATTTTTTTTTCATTTTTTTATTATGCTTCATATTTATTTATCCCATAAAAAATAAAATAAAAGATTGGTTTATCAAGCGGTCCAACCAAGGGTACCAGATTTTATTGGTAGGGTGATGGATCCAAGAAATTTAATTGCAGGTTCATAAATTGTTGACATACGAATTATTGGATTAATGTGTCTGCTTTGAAAGCCTGACATGATCTCCCTCACCGTTTTTTCTTTTGAAAAGAAGTTTTGATAGAAGACAGACAGCCATTTCTTATAAGCCGTAGTCCTTTATATATCAGAATTTTTTTCAACTTAGGTAACATGAGCTTAAACTAACAGTTACAAATGTGTTTCCAGCAAACCAAACAACTGGTAATTGGCCATATTTTCTCCTCTTGGAAGAAAAGTACTACTGTTTGAATATTGTCAAAAATATAGTGAAAGATAATTAATTAGACATAATGTTTAATCAATAGAATAAAAACGTAATGATTAAAATGTTACGGAAAATTCTATAATCAAGAAGATTACTTCAAGACATAAAAGAATCAGTTGGAGTTGGAAGGCTTTCAAAATAGATAGTCGAATGACAGATGATAAAATAGATTTTGCTAAAAAATTATACCCGGATAATCGAATGCTAATTGGCTTTCCTCTTGAGAGAAGAGTACTATAGCTGTAACTTAAGATTTCTACTCAAATTTTCTCCCACCAATCACGTATGTGCAGATTTTTAAGACCTTTTTGTTTTTTATTATGCCTAGTTCATTGAATGGAGAAAAATGTACATCAGAAGAATATTTTTGGACCCAATTTGTAGGGTCCTTCAAGCCAGAAGTAGAAAATGGGAGTGCTGGGCCCAATCTCTGCATAACATATCAAGCCTGGAAACTGAGTTTCCTGTTGCTCGTATATGAGATCAAAGCAACTTCACCTTGATTCTTGAATACCTTTAACATTGTTATGCTATTGCTAACTATATAGAGCTTTTGAGTTTGAACCTGTACAGTGGAGCTCCCTGGTAATTAAACAGGCAGCACCCCACATATATATTTCATATTTCAGCTGGGAATTATTTTTAAAAATGGAGCTTGGATCGCCTTTATCCAATCCAAACCCCTCAGATCTAAGTACTCTAGGAACAAAGGTAAACAAAAATGAGAATTTGAGACCAAAATGGAAGATTTGTGTTAACTTGAACATCAATACTCCAGACTTCATCTGATCAGAACAACATTCAAAGAACAAAATATTGCAAAGATAGATAATCCGATGACTGAAAGTACGAGAATTAATTAACTTGATCAGTTTAGCCGCATTTTTTTTTTTTTACTCACCCTTTTGTGACTGCTGGGATAAAAGGTGCGCAGCTGCCATGGTTCCTATATCCAAGAAAATGAAAATCAGAGAGCTGACTTCTGATTCCAAGGCTCTCTGCTTCATGGGCCTTGTGATCTTTCAATATTCTCGGATGATTACGGAAAGATGCTCGTATAATAATATAATTATTTATATAGACAAGTTAATAAATTTTTTTTCCTTTTGAAGAAATTAAAAAATAAATATTTTCCAAAAGGTACTAATTAATTTTTTATATTTAATATTATCAATTTTTAATTTTAATAATTAAAATGAAAACTTCAACCCTCCATTATTATACAGTGCGATTATTGGTAAAAGGATTGAACTTTCATTAAAAATGCAAAACTCGAACGTGTGGCAGGGAATGCCTTCGATAGTGAGGTTCAAACTTCAAATTTTGCATTTAGAATTTGGGAAGCTTCTCCCACCCCCATCTGTTCTTCCTTTATGGAGCGCATAGCATACGGTTCTAATGTCTCATGATTATCGTTGTCACGGCAGTGAATGATTGAGAAAAGAAAGCAAAATTTTTTAACTATTAATTTTACTTAAGTTTACAGTTTTTGTTATTGAAAGATAGGATTATTATTTTTGTTACACTTACAGTTATATATTATTAAATTATTTAATTTATTATTTCATCTAATGAAAAGTAATAATATTGTATTTTTATTTTTACATTCATATATTATCAAATTATTTAATCTATTATTATATATATAATAGAAAATAGTAATAATTAATTTGTTAGTATATGCGGTAATAGAAAGTAGTAATAATTAATTTGTTATTATATGTTATAAAAGAAAACAGTAATACTATATTTAATTATTTTTGCTTTTATTTGTTATCAAATTATTTATTTTCTTACTCTTTTTAATTAAAGTAATATCATTAATGCAGTTTATTATTACTTTTTTTGTGAAAAAAAAAAGTAATATCAAATTATTTATTTGTTATCAATAAAATTTTCATATTTTGATTTTTTTAGTCAAAATTTTAAACTTTGACCTCTTATTTTTTTATATTTATTATTGATAAAAATATGAAAATATATTTTAAAAACTTTGATTGTATTAGTTTCTATATATATGTTATGCAAAATTTAATTAATTAAAATATTTTAAATAATAACTGTCAAAGTTAAAAATTTAACAAAAAAAAAGTTAATTATGACAATTTAATTGAGATTGTGTATATTTTTTATACAAAAAAGATTGAATTTTGAGGAAAAAAATAGAAAAAAGTAAACTTGTAAATATTAATATTCAAATTTTAGTCTTATTATATATCACATCTTAAGGATTATTATATAAACCAACTGAATCAAGCTTTGGATTTATATTTTATTATATGAGTTTATATTTAATACACTATCAATATAAAAATTTTATATACTATCAATAAAGCAAATAATTCTTCCTCATCAATTATAATTTTTTAAAATTTAATTTTTTGTGTTTTTATTTTAAGAGCTTGTAAAATTTTATGTTTAGTCGTTGATGATGCAATATCATTTGATTCATTGATAGTATATAAAATCTATATAATGATAATATATCAAATATAAATTCTTATTATATTTAAATCTATTAGTTATCAAATTACTTAATTTTTTATTTACATAACACAAAATAATAATATTACTTTTTATCATTGTTCACACCTATTTCTACTTTTTATCACTTTAGGTTACTATAAATGATATTATCACATTTCTGATTACACTTTACATTTAATTTGTTATCAAATTACCATTTGATGCTAACTAACACAAAATGATATATATTACTAAGTATGGTTATTATTACACTTATTGTTAATAAATTACAATATATTTTTAATTAGCTATAATTAGTTTTACAAATTTTTTTTTTGTTTTCAAATTACTTTTTATTATAAATATACTATTTTATTTGATCCTTACACATATTTATAATCAAATCACTTATTTTGTTAAGGTAAATAATCAAAAAATAATATAATTACTTTAATTTGGTATCACGTAAACAAATCGAGTTACTCATTAGTTAACAACTAACACATGAGTTACTGATATTCAATTATTTATTATCGAATTGAACTTAATCTTCTCAATTAATGAAGTAAATTAAACTTTTTAATACTTGGTTGAATGAATATACTTTAACTTTAATTAGCTATTATCGAGTCGAACTTGATCTTCTCAATTAACAACATAAATTGAGTTCAAACTTTGTAATACTTGGCAAGAACCTAATGGTTAAGTTTTTTATTTCTTTCAATAGTTAAATGACTAATATCAACAAAAGCCATATTTCTTTAGGAAGCCCAAGTTGGCCCATTATCGGGTAAATGAATGTGGCAGCCTAAAAATCTGATTAGTGCGGTGTTGATCTAACTCTTTCCACAAGAAATTTGCTTAGAAATAAAAAAAAAATAAACATTTTTATAGCTTTTTAATTTGGAATCAACGACGCATGAATTAAAAATATCTTATGTTATCTGTTTTCAGTTCTCCCTCTTTCAAGTCAATGGGGTGGCTTTGTTTGTTAACTATCATCATTGCAATTTCAAGATTTTCATGTCCTTCGAAGGGGAGTACGGAGAATGATTCTGGATCGGACCTGGGTTAGCTCACACCTGAACTGTTGAACGCTGCCAAGGAACCTGAGTTTTTTGACACGTTAAAGAGGGTTAGGAGGAGAATCCACCATTACCCAGAATGACATGGGATTCTTTTGTGGGCTTTAGCTAAGATGATAAGAATGTGGGCTGACGTCTTTTTCAAAATTATTTTGTAATTTCTATTTTGGACTAAAAAAATAATTGTATTTTTAAATGAACAAATAATTAATTAATGCAACTAACCAAAGTGATGAAAAGTTGATCGTATAATACAAGAGAAACTAAACTAAATAAACATTTAAAAAAAACTTGATCCAAAATTTTATTTATAATATAATTAATGATGTTACAAATTTTGCTCGAATTTAATTGATTTCATGATCATAAAACAATTTTAAAAAAATTTGATAGATTCAGAATTTTATTTTTAAATAATTTCTTAAATAATTGAAATATTTTACTCTTCCGGGTATTGGAACAAGTGGAACGACGGATTAACAACACTAAAGCCCCCATCTACAAAGAGATTGTACCCACTAATATATCTACCCTCCTCACTCGCTAGATAAAGAGCCGCATTTGCTACATCTTCTGCCTTAAGAGTCAGACCCTTAAGGTTAGCTAACAAACCCATCCCTTTCTCGAGCTCCTCATCATTAGCCCCGACGAATTCCGTCGCTAAAGGCGTTGCAATAGCGTAGGGAGACAAGCAATTAACTCTAATCCCAAATTGCCCGAGCTCAACAGCAGCATTCCTTGTGAGTCCCAGGACAGCATGCTTTGAAGCGCAATAAGCATGTGAGGCAGAACCACCAAGTGTCGAGCTTATGCTAGAAGTTGAAATTATGCTACCACTTCGAGCAGGAACCATCACCCTACCTGCGTGCTTGATCCCTAGGAAAACGCCAGTAACGTTTACGCTAAGAACACGGTCAAAATCTGATTTCTCATTGTCGATTATGCGAGCCTTGTTAGGATCAACTATGCCAGCGTTGTTGAACATGATGTCTAGTTTGCCATGAGTAGCAACAGCTTTGTCAACAGCATTTTTTATTTGATCTTCATCTGTAACGTTGCAGTGCACGTAGGAACAGTTAGAAGGGCCTATGTCCTCGCAAACGAAATGGCCCAATTCATCTTGGATATCAGCAATCACAATTTTGGCTCCATGGTGTGCAAAAACTTTAGCAGTGCATTTCCCAATACCACTTGCGCCTCCAGTAATTAGAGCTACCTTCCCTGCCAGCCTGCTGATGATGGTTGAATAAGATAATGAAAGTCATTTATTTTTTGGGTTTCATTTTTTATATGCTTCATATTCATATATCCCACGAAAAAAAAATGGGTTAACCAAGCGATCCAATCAAGGGTCTAATTTCATTTGATAGGGAGATGGACCCAAGAAACTTGATTGCAGGTGATCTTTCATAAATAACATGAGCTTAACCATCAGTTTAAAATGAGTTTCCAGTCAACTATAGCAGTAGCTTAAGATACTTGAACATCATTCCAGATTTTATCTGATCATTAGCACAACATTCAAATTAAGAACAGAAAGATTGGAAAAGTTAGATAATCAAACGACTGAAACGAAGAGAAACTCACCTTTTTGTGACTGCTGAGATAAAAGATGAAGCTGCCATAGTTCCTTCTTTCTAGACAAGTGAAAATTAGAGAGAACTGACTTCTTGCAAGTCTCTGTTTCAAGTGGCTTGTGATAACAAGGAAAGATGCACAGGTATATATATATTATAAATATTTGCAAAGATAATATTTATTCTAAAATTTTCTTTCTCTTTTTCTTTTCTAAGTGGTTTCTTTTTTTTTTCTTTTATTAAAAGACCCAACTTTTCCCTTTATTTTAAAATTATAAATTTATAGAACTAATACGTATATTTGGATAACAATTTTTGTTTTACATAGAAAAAAAAAACATTTTTGTTAAGAAAAATAGTAAAGGATAAAAAGAAAAAAAAATGCATGAAATCCATAAAAAAAAAAAACTAAAAGTTATTTTATACATTAAAAAAAAACCTAAATTTATATTAATCCAACAAATCAATTTGACTTGCCAAGAACTCAAATGTCTAAAATTCATTATACCTAAAGCCCAAATGCCTAAAATCTAAAATAAATAAAATAAATAAAATAAAAGCCAGCTAGTGCCTTATCAAGCAAAGTTAGCTATAGCAAGTCATGGAACTAACTTTCATTTAATGTTAGATATTAAATGTTTGATTAAATTAAGTATTTTTTTAAATTATTGTTATTAGGATTATATGATTATTACGTGTTAGGCTTCTATCACCCTCTACAATACATTAGATTGGATGGTTAAGCTTAAGCACCTTATCAATGGCAAGACAAAATGCTGTTATTTAAGAAGAAACGAGTTCTATTAAAAAAAAAGAAGAAGAAATGCATGATAAATACTACTCTAATTTATTAAAAAATGAATAAAAAGAAGAAAAAAATAAAACACATGCACATATTATCACTTTCTTCTCTCTAATTTTATTTTTTGATTAAATTTACTATAATTTTATTTTTTTGATTAAATTTACTATAATTTTATTTTATTTTTACTTTGCTTGTATTATTATACTAATATATTTTGATAAGTAATTTATCTTTATCTTTTTTTTTTTTTAACAGTTTCCTCTTATTTTCTTTCTAGCAAGAAAAGCAATGTTTGTTTAGGAAGCCCAAGTTGGCCCATTAGTAGGTAAATGAAAGTAACAGGCCTTAGAATCTAATTAGTTTGGTATTGACGTAACTCTTTCCACAAAAAAATTTGCTTAGAAAAAAAAAAAAAAACATTTTTATAGCTTTTTAATTTGGAATCAACTACGTATGAATTAAAAACATCTTTTGTTTTCTGTTGAGTTTTTTTTTTTTTTTTTTTTTAACTTTCTGCTCGGTATAGGGTAGGGAATGGATCTACATTTAAGTTGAAATTTTAAAAATTAAGTATTATTATTATTATTGAAAAATAATGTTAAAATTTATTAAATTTTGCTTTTATCTCACTTTGATTGAAAAAAAGAAAGTAATTATGGATACTATAATATACGTCTAAAAGATAAGGTATACTCGTATATCTGGTTTTTTTTTTTTAGTAATATAAGAAAATTATTTTTTAACTATAATAATCAAGCATAACTTATTGAAATATTTTATTTTTTGGGGGATATTTTCCGCAAAATATATGATCTTTTTACACAATTAAAATGAGAGAAAAAAAAAAAAAGAAACGAATGCTCGTAAGCTAGAAATTTTCTTTAATTTTTTTTATTTTAATGAAGTTATACAACAATACTACATATCAAATATGTAGTCTTATAAAAATTTTTTGGTCTGTCCATGTCCATGATCTAGTCTTCATGTTAGGGTAATTTTATTCGTTTATAATCTCTTTTTCATCATAAAAATTTTGTCGCAATTATAAGGGAACCTAACTCTCACTTAAGTAAATCATTATAAATTTTTTGTATTTTTATTTATATTTTTATTCATTGTATTTATTATCACAAAGATGATAGATAATTTTTTTTTTTATTTCATTGTGAGATTTTGCCATCATTAAAGATCAATCCTGAATCTGTTATTGCTGAAAATGATGGAAAGACAAAAGCATTCTTAACACACAGGTCTTATATGCAAGGTAGATACCCCAAACAAAACAGAGCTGTCTATTTTCTTTACCATTTACAACATTCATCATGCCATAATACGAAGTCCAAAAGCAAAAGAAAACTTATTCAGGTAAATCATTATCAGTGTTAGCAATTGGCAAGAAAAAAAAATCTCCTATAGTTCTATGCTTCTATTCATTTCCAGCTACATGCCATATATACTCCAAATTTGAAATAAGAAAGTCAAATTTATGGACTACACAGTTCTTTTCAGGAAAAGCTGGGATTACTGGGTTTTTCCATCTGGGAAGGGAAATTTAAACTTTTTTATTTGAATGATTTTGTATTAATTAATTGAACTAAATATTCGGACGTCAGCTGAGGTTTCTATTAATATTATTAAGTTATTTGATGAAAATTAAAATTGTAATTAATAACTATCAGCTTGTATATCAAAAAAATTAATAGGAAAACTACTAAGCAGTGATTATTGGTAGCATATTATTTATAAGTAAACATTTAAAATTATGTGAGATTTATTAAAATTTTAGATAAAATATAAGTAATAAATTTTTATATAATTTTTTATTATAATTAAACACTTACAAAATTATAATAGAAAGTTTTGGGAGAGACAGGGCCGTTGGCAAAGAAAAATATGCGACTTTCAAGATCCAAATGCAGTGTCCAAATCAAAGCCCAAGCTGATATCGATGTCCTTCTACCGATGATTCCAACACGCGGTCCCAAGAAGTTCCTTTCACACCCGAGATCAAGGGGAGTCAGAGACGCTTCTGTTCCAATTCTCCAAATTTCTCTCCAAACTTAGCCCAGCTAAAGTTCATGGGTTTTATATTTTGTTTAGTACTCTCAACTTTCCTATGGCAATTTGAGGCCCTGGAGACTCCGTCTGGCAAAGAGCTGGAGCCTTTGACTCGAGAGTTGTTGGAATCTGCAAGAAAACCTGAGTTCTTTGAATGGATGATAGGGGTTAGGAGGAAAATTCATGAGTACCCAGAGGTGGGATTTGAAGAAGACAAGACAAGTGAACTCATCAGGACAGAGTTGGACTCACTTGGGATTACCCACAAATGGCCAGTTGCTAAAACTGGGGTGGTTGCTACAATTGGTTCTGGTGTTAAACCGGTTTTCTCTCTCAGAGCTGACATGGATGGCCTCCCTATTCGGGTCCTTTCTATTCCCTATGTTTTCTTTTTGCTTTTAACTTTATACCTGGTTGTAGCAAATTCATGCAATACTCAAAATTGTCTTAAGGAAATGAGGTTACAAGACACTTTGTGATCTTTCGCTCATAAAATGTTGCAGCTGACACCAAATGTTTTCTTTTGGATTATCCTAATGATGTTGCTTTACTGTTTGTTTGACACCTTGACCTTTTATTGATCTTATATTCTTACTGTTAAAAAGGAATTAGTAGAGTGGGAGCATAAAAGCAAGGTTGATGGTAAGATGCATGCTTGTGGTCATGATTCTCATGTAGCAATGGTACTTGGAGCAGCAAAGCTACTTCAGGCAAAAAGAGATGAATTAAAGGTTGATTGTTTACTGTTGCTATATCATCAATGATGGAAACTGCAAAAACACTATGCTTTTCTGTCTTGTGGCCTGTGGATGCTGACATATTTTGACCTGTGTTGAAGGGAACAATAAAGCTAGTTTTCCAGCCTGGGGAAGAGGGCTATGCTGGTGCTTACCATATGTTACAAGATGGTGCTCTGGATGATATAGATGCCATCTTTGCTTTACATGTTTTGCCAGCATATCCTACCGGTGTCCTTTCTTCAAGGCCTGGAGCAATGACTTCTGGAGCTGGGCGCTTTTCAGCCACAATCCAAGGAAAAGGTGGACATGCGGCACTTCCCCATCTTAATAGGGACCCAATTCTTGCAGCTTCTTTTGCCATTGTTGCTCTCCAGCAGATTGTCTCCCGGGAGACAGATCCTTTTGAGGCTAGAGTAATATTTTATCCTTCTTGAAATCTTTGACGTTGTGCTCTTAATAGCGCTCTCATACGACCATCAATTTCAGTTAATAGTAATAGGCACTCTCAGTTATAGTACCAGCCATTACTAGCATTGAAAATATGAAGTAGCCACCTCTGTTCATTAAACTACTTTGTCGATGGGGTTCTCTTCCTAGACAAATTGAAAGATAGCACTCAATATCTGGCTACAATCCTATTGAGCACTTTGAATTTGAACCATAGGGTGCAATGTTTGAGGGACAATGCAGAGAAACAGTTTGGATAAACATCTAGTATCAATAGTGAAAGTGATAGATAATTTTAATCAGCTTGCACTGAATCTTGCAGGTAGTGACAGTGGGGTTCGTGGAGGGAGGTAAAGTAGGAAATGTGATCCCAGATTCAGTGAGATTTGGCGGAACCTTCAGAAGCTTGACTAATGAAGGACTCCCCCTCCTCCAGAAAAGGATTAAAGAGGTAAAGCATGCTGTCATTCCTCAATCTTCAGAATTTTGCGAGTTGCTGAGTTAACAATGAATGAGGAAATAGAAGGTGTACTATATAATTGTCTATATATGTTCCATATACAGGTCATAGAAATGCAAGCAGCTGTGCATCAATGTACTGCCACATTAGACTTTCTGGAGGACGTCGCATTGCCTTATCCCGTTTTAAGTAATGATGAAGCATTGTATGAACATGCAAAGAAGGTTGGTGAGACCTTAGTTGGAGCAGGTAATGTGCAGCTTCATCCAAAAATTACTGGCGCAGAAGACTTCAGTTTCTTCTCACTAAAGACTAAGGCTGTGATGTTTGGGCTTGGGATAAGGAATGAAACCTTGAAATCAAATCAAGTGTTGCACTCACCTTATTTTTTTCTTGATGAATCGGCTTTACCTATTGGAGCAGCTTTTCATGCTGCTGTTGCCGTTTCATACTTGGATAGCCATTTTGTAGCTCAATAGGAAGATTTGACATAAATGTATATTTGAAAAGACAGAAGTAGCATTTGCTTTTATACAGCAAATTGCTGGAAAATATGCTTGTTTGCACTGTTTGACAAATTTTAAGTGTGAAAGAATAAGGAGGAATAGCCCTATAAATCAACCTAGGCCGAAATGCTATTTGTTATGTTCTAGATTAGATGTTTGTAATCCTTGCAACTTGAGGAATGTCCTTATATAAATTAAAGCTTAAAAAAGCTGGCATATGAGAAAATTCTTAAATTGGTTTTGAAAAAAGAAAATTAAAAAAAGGTTACATATTCAACTTACTGCTACATGGCAGAATGTGAGGGAAGTTTGTTGGATTTGCTCGAATAATAGTTGATATCCTATGAAGTATCATTCAAACTTCAGAGTAGCAGATGCCTATTGAGCTCAAAGTTGATAGTTTTTGCCAAATTAAACAAGCCTTTAGGGCTCTCGTTCTGATCTGCGGTATAGAAGTTAAATACAGTAGTAAAAATTTGTATGGCGTATATGGCACTCGGTTAAAGGTTTGAAGCAAAGCAGGCTAGTCGGGCTAGCACCAGCTATCACAGGATAGCAAGCAAAAATATATCTTGAGAATTAATATATTCTTGCCGAATTTGTATCATATTAAATATATATAAAATATATTTTTATTTTTATAAACTCATAAAATTTTTTAAAATTTTAAACGGTAACATTTTTGTGTTTTTATTTAATATATATATTTGGTGTGTTTGCGCTTAAAATTGTCGGATTACACAAACCTCCGAACTATGGACAGGACCCACAAACAAACTTTCTCATTTTAAAATTTCCCGAGAATAAGGTCACGGTTCCTTGGCTTTGCAAATCATGATCTCAATGGAATTTTGTTTCTGCTTTGTAGTTTCAACAATTATATGCCAAGCTCTGGCCTTGGAGACTCGTTCTGGATCAGAACTTCAATTGCTTAGTCAAGAGTTGTTGGAATCTGCAAGACAGCCTGAGTTTTTTGAGTGGATGAGAGGGCTTAGGAGGAGAATTCACGAGCACCCAGAGCTAGGATTTGAAGAGTACAAGACCAGTGAACTCATCAGGAATGAGTTAGACTCTCTTGGGATCAGCTATAAATGGCCTGTTGCTAAGACTGGCGTGGTAGGTTATATTGGGACTGGTGCAAAACCAGTCTTCGGTCTCAGAGCAGACATGGATGCCCTTCCTTTGCAGGTTATCTCTCTTTCTCTCTCTGAGGGTTTGTCTCATTGATCATTTTGCTAAGGTCTTTGTTAGTGGCACCATAAAGTAGCACTACCCATAGGAGTTTAAGCTGTTGCTGTCTATAATTTCCTGATGCAATTCATAATAGAATTTCTCTTTTCAGGCTATTGGATAATTCCCTGGAGCATTTTTATTTTCTGTACTGATCTGCTGTAGATGACAAATGTCTTATACCTTGTAATTGACCTTACATTTTGAAGGAATTAGTGGAGTGGAAGCACAAGAGCAAAGTTGATGGGAAGATGCACGCTTGTGGTCATGATTCCCATGTAGCAATGCTACTTGGAGCAGCCAAGTTACTTCAGAGCAGAAGAGATTTACTGAAGGCAAACATATTACATAGGCTCTTTGCAATTGCCTGTAAATCTTAGTTCCTTTTTCTCTCTTGTGGGCTAATTTTGCTACAACATTGTTTTTTAAGGGAACGGTGAAGCTAGTTTTTCAACCTGGTGAAGAGGGTTATGCTGGTGCTTACTATATGCTACAAGATGGCGTCCTAGATGATATTAATGCAATCCTTAGTATACATGTTTTGCCGCAAGTACCTACGGGTGCTATTGCTTCAAGGTCCGGTCCAATGCTCGCCGGTGTTGGGCTGTTCTCTGCTAGGATTCAGGGAAAAGGAGCACATGCATCAAGCCCTCATCTGAGTAAGGACCCAATTGTTGCAGCTTGCTCTGCTGTCCTTGCTCTCCAACAGATTGTATCTAGAGAGACAGATCCGCTCGAGGCCATGGTAATTTTCTGTCTTCCATTGCTGAAGATATTTTTAAGATGGTAATCTCATAGGACTTGATCACTGAACTATCAGTTTGCTATGATAGATTTAGTCAACATCATTAGGCAGCAATTGAAACCTATATGTCACCTAGAATACCAAACATGGAACAAAGGCTATTGATGGACCATTGTATTGGGATCATTGGATTGGAAATAGAATTGACTAGGCCCGAAAGCTAGCATGTTTTGTAGTGTCAAATTCCAGCCGTCTGTAAAGAGATTTTTCCAAAATTTGAGAATCGCCATAACAGTAGAAAATTGAAATTGATCATAATGAATCTTTTAGCAACAATCAAGAACCAAAAGTCTGAACTTCATTTTGGAATGATGTAGTTGGTAACAGTTGGTTCAATAGAGGGAGGTCGAGCTGGCAATATAATCCCTGAATCTGTGACATTTACTGGAACATTTAGGAGCTTGTCTAGTGAAGGTCTTTCCTACCTCCAAAAAAGGATTAAAGAGGTAAGGCATGCTCTCTTCTCATTTTCTGACCATAGATTTGTTTAGCACTACCCCATTTTTAAGTGTGAAAAATTTTCTAAACATGACTGTGCTCCACTTACAGATCATAGAAATGCAAGCAGCAGTACATCAATGCAGTGCAACGGTGGACTTTATGGAAGACAAACATTTGCCGCATCCAGTAATGGTCAATGATGTAGCATTGTACGAACATGCAAAGAAGGTGGGAAAAACTCTTGTTGGAGAAACCAACGTCCATCTCCTCCCTATAACTATGGGAGCAGAAGACTTCAGTCTCTTTGCTCAGAAGACTGCAGCTGCAATTTATGTGATTGGGATAAAGAACGAGACAATGAAATCAGATCAGCCATTGCACTCACCTTACTTCTTTATCGATGAAGAGGCTCTTCCTATTGGAGCGGCTCTCAATGCTGCTGTTGCAATTTCATACTTGGATACCCATGTTGCAACTAATTGAGAGCTTTGACATCAATGTAAACGTTGCTAGACATAATAAGCATCATCATCAGCAGCATTATAATCCAGATTGAAGGAAATTGGCAAGATGTTTATTTATCTTTTTAACAGATACAGTATATGTAATAAACTTTTTTCCAAAGTCCTAACAAATTAAGTATTGGTTAACAAAACTTAGGATATACTTTTAAGGATGTCATACATTTGCATTTTGGAAAGAGCTAGGCCCAATTTCAAGCAAAGCTCTGCCAATTTTACTGGGTTAAGCCCATTTTAACTACACCCGAGGCAAACCGAAAAAGGACAAAGCATAGCAAAACCAAAGCCGCAAGTGAAAGTGAAAAAGCAAACAGAAAATAAAAAACCGGACAAAAAACCCAAAAATGGTGCTTTGGTCATATCCACCAACGGCGAAGCAACTAGCAGTAACAATCGGTTTTTGCCTCACCGGAGCTTCACTAATGGCCGCCGGAGCTTACCTCTCCCTTGTCAATGTTGGTCCTCAACAGGAACGCGCCAAAGCCCGCAGCCAATACGTCAAAGACCGACTTAGAAAAATGCTTGACGATTAGTCACCACCCAAAAGAGAAAACAGCCAAGGCAGTAAGGAAAAAGGAACCCTTTTAGACTTCTATATTCATGGTTTGGTTCTGAATTTTGGCTTGACATTGAAGAAAATGAAGCTTTGGAGCTTTTTCTCTACTGGTTACTCGTGTTTGAAAAGTATGGTGATTAATTCGTATTTTCCAGTAATTTGAGTTCATTGGTTTTTTTGACAATATTAATTTGGTTTTCAATTTTCTTGTTTGTTTGTAGACGCTGGTAATTTTGGTGGTGAATATGAAAAATATTTATTCAAGTTTGTGGGTGATTGATACATTGGTATAGATACAAATTAGATAGAAATGGGTTTTTTTTTTTTTTTTCTGGATTTTTTTTATGTCCAAAGTTATAACTTGGAACTTGGATGAAATTGACATGGTCACTTTAAGTTGTCTTGGATGATCTCAAGTTCATGAGTAGGAAACCTTTTTATGGCTAATGTTTTATCTATGTTCACTATTGTAAATTCTTGTTCTTTTATTTCCACAGGACTTGGTAAACTCAGTTTTGAGCAATGCGAGACATGAGAATCACTAGAACGTTTTAAATGGAGAATTTTTTGGGAAATTTACTTGAAAATATGAAAAGGTCCTTCCTACCTGCATTCAGAAGAGGGATTATGATTATGAAAGTCATGTTGGTGTTTTGTTGGTTGCATTGAATGTCTATTGGAAAAATTATTTTCCATGAGAACATTTGTGCCAAAGAGACGATAATTTATTGTTCATTAGTGAATAAATAAGCAAAGATGTTTGTCCATAATCTTCATTCTCCACTGCTTACGATTCATTTGCTTGAGTGTTCTGTTAAGCTTTAGATCCTAAGTTGCCCTGCTAGCTTTTTGTTCAGCAAACTGCAGTTGTCTCTGCTACTGAACTATTGATGTTTATATCATGTTCATTTAAAAGTTCTATCCATGTCAAAATTTGCAGCCTGTATGAGAGGAAAGTAGAGCTTTTTTCAAGTTAGGTTCCAAAATGTTAAAACTTTCCCCTTTGATGCTAAGTTCGAAATGCTGTGTTCGGTATTGCATCCATATATGACATAACTGCTGACGTTGTAAGGCTATGGTACATTGTTTGATCAGTCTCTGTCCTCCCTTAGAAGCGTTTTGGCATGGCTTGACTAGGCAAACCAATTGGGTGACCACTATGGTAAGAACATTTCTGGTGCAAACCGTGCGTTCCATTTCACTTCTGTTCGTCGAATGTACTGGTTTCAACCACTGGTTCAGCCTATCAAATGCTCACGAAACATTCTAGCAAAACTTATTCATCGTATAAAAAAAAAAAATACACCTCCAATGTTATATAATTTTGTGATTGTTATATCTTAGCAAGATTTAATGTTCAATGTAGGAAGTTTTACATGGACTTGTATGAATAATTAAAAATGAAAAAAAAAAGTGTACTCTCATTAAAACCACACGCAAATGACTGATTTCACCAACTGGCAACTGCCAATTCAGACATCATTCATCATTATTTACTACAACAACTCCCTTTTGCTTGCCTCTCCCAAAAACAACATTAGCAAACAAAGGACAAATATTCTCACAAAACCCAACTCTTGAAGGAAAAAAAAAAAGGGAAATCATCCAAAATGGATTTGCAAACTCGAACAGTGGACCAACAACAACTAGAATATGAACAACAATCCCTCCTCCCAGGAAATGGAGAACAAGAAGCTGGGCCCGCTTCTATTCAACCCATCAAGAAACGACGCCGTAACAAGGGCGCCGACCGCCACATCAAAGTAGAAGGTCGTGACAGGCGGATCAGGATACCTTTAACTTGCTGTTCCGGTCTTTTCCGGTTGACGCGGGAAATGGGTCACCGAACCAACGGCCAAACCATCCAATGGCTCCTTCAACAATCCCGGCCCGACTTAGTCCTACCCGACCCCATGAGCCACCCTAGTCGCGTAATCGCTTCTTCCCCTGGCTGCATGGCAAAGGGTCGAGTGAGGGCTACAGTGGTTCAAGCTTCCACTGTGTTCTTTGACACTCCGGCCACACTAGGTACCGAGTTGACTCAGTAGTTTTTCTTGTTAGGGTTTTTGGTGGGAAATTTGTTTAAATCTAGCTGGGCCCTTTCCCCATTTTTTTTTTCTTTGGGTTGCTAATTATAAAATGTCCCTACCCATTTCATGGTGTGGTCCACAGTTTTCTCCATTTTTTGTTATAATTAAAAGTCTTGTTTTTATTTTTTTTATTTTTGCAATGAGTAGATAAAGCAGAGAGGCTAATAGCCGGGGCAGCTGCATATGGTTCACAGTTAGTTGTTTTCCCAGAAGCATTTGTTGGTGGATATCCAAGGGGTCTTTCATTTGAGTCTCTGCCAGTTTCTGCTACTTCAACTGAAGATAATGAGGATTTTCTCAAGTATCATGCCTCTGCTATTGAGGTCCCAGGTCCAAGCTCTTCTCATTTCAAACCGATTTGTACAATTGACATGTTTCTATTTAAGTAATTAAAACCAGTTATGGAGTTTAAATGCATATACTGTTAACTAAGAATGAAATGAATTGAACTTTTTGACTTCAGCAATCATTTGAGAGTAGCAGAGGGGAGAAATGATTAGCAGATTCTAAAACTTGACGCTGCATTTAGATTCTAAATAAGGCAGACTTCGAAATGCAATCATTTATTGGTTTTAAGATAGATTACTCATTGCACTTTTATTATGTTGTAAGCTGAACTTGAGATGTCCTTCCATCCATCACGTCCCTAATTTTGTATTGGTTATTTTTGTGTGTACAGGTCCTGAAGCCGATAGACTTGCAACAATTGCTGGTAAATATAAAGTTCATTTAGTGGTGGGAGTAGTGGAGAGAACCGGATTCTATCTCTTTAGTACAATTCTGTTTTTTGATTCCATGGGACGGTATCTTGGAAAACATCGGAAGCTAATGCCAATTGCATCCGAATGGGTAGTGTGGTGTTCTGGAGAGAAATCATCATTGCCATTATATGGGACAACAATTGGGAAAGTTGGTGGCCTTCTCTATTGGGACAATAGGATCCCATCTTTGAGAACTGAATTGTATGCTAAAGGTACAACTTATCATTGTTGCCTGTTGAGGAATCCTTGGTAAAGTCTATTTTGTTCATTGCTTTCTGCTAGATTCACCATGCAAATACAATGTAGACAAGGGCATTTGTTTGTGTACCATGAATGATGATTTAGCAATGCTGTTATGTATCACATAATTTGTCTTGATTGACAGAATAATTCTTTTCTATGACTAGAGAATGATGACTTAGCAGTGCTGTTATGTATCACATAATTTGTCTTGATTGACAGAATAATTCTTTTCTATGACTGGAGCTTGCCATTCTTCCATTACAAATGTCTTATCTCTTTTTCTCTCAAACTTTCTACCAATGTATACACAGGTATTGAAATATACTGTGCACCAACTGCGGATGCTAGGGAAGAATGGCGAGCATCCATGATTCACATTGCAATAGAGGGCAGTTGCTTTGTTCTATCTGCCAACCAATTCTGCCGGAGGAAGGACTATCCTCCGCCACTCAAATGCATAGATGGAGATTCAAATGGTGACTTATCATTGGACACAATAATGTGCAGCGGGGGCAGTGTTATTGTTTCTCCATCAGGGACCATTTTGGCAGGACCTAATTACCAAGGAGAGTCCCTTATCTCAGCTGATCTAGGTATGGATTCCTATTAATATTTATAATCATAACTGGATAACTTTTTTTGACATTGATCATATATGAAGATACCTTAATCTTGCTGCATCTACCTTCCCTGTTCATTGAAGTCTAACATATTATCTCATGCTTCTAGATCTTGAAGAGATAAATCGAGCAAAACTAGAATTCAGTGAATTAGGACATAGTCTGGAGCCAGATTCTCTTGGTTGTGCTGCAAACAGACCCAATACGGTTCTATTTCCAACAGCCGTGAAAACAGAAGCTCTTGATGATTTGTTGTGGTCACCTGGTCTGTAAGGAAACTTAGCTCTAGAATTGCATTGTTATGCTCCTCACAGCTAAGAGCTAGTTTAGACTTTCCTGACTGCCGATATTTTAATGTTTTTGAAAATGTACAGAGCACAGTTTCTTTTTGTTACCCTTCCTTATTACAAAACTTGTGAAGTTGCCAACATACTGTATATCCACAGTCGATGAATGAATGGGATGAAGTCATTACTAACTGAAATGCTTCTAAGTGGCAGTCATAAAATGCTGCTGTAGTCATTAAAATGGGACATCCGTTTAATCTTTTTGTTGCCATTTCTGTTTTCCTCCCTCATTTTGTGCTGTTATCCAATCTCTCTAGTACCGAAAATGAAAAAAAAGAACGTTCTAAGTTGGAAGAGTTTTTGAACCATCATGGATCAACCAAGATGCCAATGAGACTTCTGCAGGTGCTTTCAATATGTTCCCAACAAAATGTATATTTTACCTTTTGCACAACTCTCCAGAAAGTGTTAATAATCCATCTATCTCTAAACCAATAATCATGTGATGCAAATTCTTAAATGACTTCTGTAACTGTTGAACGCAAGCATTTTGGGTTTGAATTATATAAGAAATTTTTGTACAGAAGAAATAGCTCAGCTTTCTATAAGAAATCTCTAAAGTCATACAAATCTACTGGACTATTATGCATAAAAAAGTGAGGAGAATACAACTTAAAAGGTTGAGAGGAAAATATTAAAATATGAAGTGATTCAAACGAGAGGCATGCCAAAAGGCCTCAATAGGAAAACCCTCTCCTTCAAGAAAACCATGATTCAAAATGAAAGCATTCCACAGCATAATTTCATTCTTGGTTTCATACCCCAGCACTCAACATCTCTAAAAAAAAGTGTTTCAATGCCAGCAACCTTTCCTTCATCATAGTGGATTGCACATCATCATTTTGTCATTATACTATACTTATCATATACTTCAAAAATCTGATAGCCTATGGAACTGGAAAAATTAAATCCTCATATTGCAGTCATGCTGGACAATAACAAACTCATGTAATGAACTAAATCCAACTGCAACCAGGTATTTTTCTCACACCCCGCTCCTTCATTTTATTCCTCACAAGAGAAACATCCACCCATTGCTCTGCCGCAGCGTAAATGTTGGACAGCAGCACATAATTAGCAGCATTTAGAGGCTCTAGGTCAAACAGCCTAGCAGCAACCAACTCCCCTAACTCAACATCACAATGCAACTTACAGGCTCCAAGAAGTGCGCCCCAAGCACCAGCATGAGGCTCCACGGGCATAGATTTTATAAGATCATAAGCTGCTTTTAGCCATCCTGTCCGACTTAAGAGATCAACCATGCAAGCATAATGATCCGGTATCGGTACCATAGAGTACTCATTTTTCATCATTTCAAAATAATGCCAACCTTCCTCAACAAGCCCAGCACGGCTACAAGCATTCAGAATAATAGTGAAGGCTACTTCATCTGGAATCAGCCCTTCGCTTATCATCCTATTGAAAAGCTCAATAGCTTGAGCCTCTCGGCCATGAATAGCCAATCCTTGTATCATAGAGCAATATGACACTACGTCCCGTTTAGGCATCTCATCAAACAACTTAGCTGCTCTATCCATGTTTCCACACTTCGCATTCATATCTATAAGAGCTGCCAAAACGTGTGCTTGCCTAGTATCAATTTCACTCCGGCTTAAATAACAATCAACCCACCTAGCCAATTCCAAACTACCGACCTGAGAACAAGCCGACATCAAGCTAACCAAAACAAATTCATCGGGTTTAACATCCATTTCTCCCATTCTAATAAAAATCTTGACAGCTTCATTAGGCCGACCATTTTGTTCATATCCCGAAATCATGGCAGACCATGCAACGAGATCTCGCTCCGGAGCCTGCTCAAACAAAAACATCGCCGACGCCGTATCCCCAGCCTTCGCATATCCATCAATCATCGTCGTATAAGAAATCACATTCCTTTCAGGCATCTCATCAAACACTTTCCTAGCATTCCCCAAATCCCCTGTTTTGACCAACCCACCCATCAAAGCATTCCACGTAGTCACATTCCTCTCCGGCATCAAATCAAACATTCTCTTCGCTTCCACAAAATCACCAACGTTAATATACCCAACAACCAAAGCCGTCCAAGACACAACATTTCGCTCCAACATTTCATCAAACAATTTCCTGGCATGCAAAATTTCCTTAATTTTCACATAAAAGTCAACCAAACTTGTCCCAACAAAAACATCTTCTTTGCTTCCACTTTTTAAAGCCAACCCATGAAGCATTTTCCCTTCCCATGCCTTAAACTCACTCGAGCAAGCTTTGATCACTAAAGGGTAAGTGTACTTATCAGGAAGCCCACCCTCGCTCTTCATACGGATAAAAAGAGAGAAGGTTTGAAGAAAAGAGGATTTTTTAGAGTACCCTTTGAGGAGAGAGTTCCAAAGGAAAGAGCTGGGCTGGAAAAGGTTATTGAAAATGGAAGTGGAGTAAGAGAGGGAAGTGGAAAGGGAAATGAAAAGGCTGATGAGAAATTGGTCTCGGTGCAGGCCTTTCTTAATTATGTGGGCATGGATTTGGTAGAGCTGGTTTTGGGTTTTGCAGGACCTAAGAAGGGTTGGGAGAGAAGGGAGAGCGTTGGGGAAATGACGGACGGAAACTGGCATTGGAGGGAACAAGGTTTGCTGCCCCGCATGGCTTTTCTTTCCTTTTACTCAGAATCGTATTCAGCGAGGGTGCGACTGCGGCTTTGCGCTTTACTTCGCCTCTTAAATTTGTTTCTTTGTGACGTGGTAGGAAAAAATTATTCGTAAATCTTTAATGACATAAAGGCTAACTAAACAGAAGCGGAAGAAGACGCACACATGACAGCAAATTTTGAACACTTCTAGTAAATTATACATTTCAGTTATACTAGAAGATTTGTACAAGGTAAAACAGGTTCAATTAGCACAGCTTCCTTAAAATGAAAGGAACACGAAAAAAAAAAGGCCCTACAAAAGACACTCGATCCTACCTATGGTGTCCAGATACTGGTGCAAATCAAGCAGCGATCATTGCAATTTGAGCACCTCTAGAGGCATCACACAAAGCACTAGCCAACAAAAAATAAAAATGGAAAAATCGTTTCCGTCCAAATCTTCTTGCGGTAGGCGTCTAACAAGCTTTGATCCGAAACTACTTCCACGCATTCAGAGTTCACTTTGTGAGTTGACAGGACCTATGGAATAGCGAAACAAAGCATAATCAACAAAATTGTATTTCTCACCATCTTGACTTTCTAGTATTATTGGCTTCACCCCTAGATTCTGCCAGCCGTGACTTCAAAACACTACCAGGCACCAAAGGTGGCCTCTCTTGAGCTATATTGCCAAGATCTCTAGAAGAGCGTGTTGGACTAGCATAAACTCTAACTGTCCTAGAACCAGATAAAAGGTGTTCTCTAAGACCCTTTACTGCTTTATATGCATGCATTTCATCTCCATGACCTTTTGCTTCTACATGCTTCTCCAGTTCAGCAAATCTACCCCACTCTAAATCATCACTGGAATTTTGAAGCCTTTCATTTTGCATGCCCCAATCAACTCCATCTGATATGCTCCTTTGTAGAGAAGTACTCTTCCTTGGTAATCTGCTGGAGGTAGATTTTCTACCTGTGATGTCTTCTTCATTTCTTAGAGGATCTCTTGAATCACGAGCAGCACCAGGAGCGTAAGCCCACTTGTAGTTCTTGTTGTTGTTGTCCATATTTAATTCTATGGAATGAAGATCACTTTCAGCTGAGTCTTCCTCACATTCTATGACATCTTCAGCTTCTCCATCCTCTTCATTTTCCTCATTTGGATGGGAACCGAAATGGGCTCTGTTTAAATAGGCAGCAATCTCCTCACTGTTAGGTTCATTTAGGGAACTATGCCCTTTTTCTTTAACTCTCTTTGTACCCAGAAATGTTTCAAGTTGGTTCCTCAGTGTATCAACAGCTGCATTTTTCTCCTCAAGATGATATTTGGCCTCTGATAGTTTCATTTGAACTCTCTGTTCACGCAACACATCAGCTAACTGCATCATCTCCCTTTCCTTTTCAACCTCTTCGCGAACTTTTGCAGACTCTCTCTTCAGCTCTTCCTTTTCAGCTTTATCTTCACTGATATCCCTCGCTAGTTCATCACATACTTGCTCAATTACCACCCTTGCCCTTTTTTCACTCTCAAGTTCTTTCACTGATTTCAGAAGAGATGTCTTTGTCTCAGCTAGTTCTTTCCCAAGCTTCTTGTTTAAGCTTTCAAAACGTCTCCTAAGCTTTCTCTCCCCCTCCAGTTCACCTGCAATGGACTCAATAGCAGCCTCGACAACTTTCTGCTCCTTGTTTATCCATGCTGCCTTTTCTTCAGCAAAGCACTTCATCAGATAATTGATGTCATGCTGGTCAGAGCGCTGCCCTTGGATGAGTTGATTGACTTGCAGACGAGCCCTCTCTAACTCAGCATGTAAGGCTGAAATAAGGGACATACTTGATGAAGGACGATCTTCATGACCCCACATGCGGTTGATAATTTTTAATAGTTCTTTGGATGTTGTCAAGGCATTACTAACATCCTTCAAACGAGTCTTAACGCCAACAGTTGATCCCCTGGGGGTTTGCATATGAGATCTAGTTTCAATCTGCATCACAAGTGAAAGATTGTTAAACTCCTTTGCACTAACCAAATACTCAAGTGCCCTGCAGCTTAGCACAGTCTAAAAGTCCTCAAAAGTTTTTATATTTCAGATATTTGAAATTTTGCCTTCACGATTTGATACAAAAGGAACTGTTACATTTTCGAATTATTTACAAAAATGAGCAAGAAAGAGGCTCAATAAAAGTTACAAATTCTGACATGAAACTAAGACAAGCTCAAGAAGATTAAAATACATAAACCATTCATTAAATATTCAAAATAAAATATAAGATTTCTCCTCTACCTTGTATTCAATACTTACAAAATACAAGAAAAGCAGGAAAAAATCATTTTTCTCCAAGAACCAAAAGGAATACCTCCATTAAACTGGCATTGCTAATAGAATCCAATACCCCAACATTATGGTCAGTAAGCCTAAGCTTGTGGGAAACAGATGATGCTCTTCTCTGGCGACTACCAGTTCCAGGTCGATCCATTCTCTGAAGAAGAATAAATTAACATGGTAATCATTTATCCAGGACAAAGGTATAATGCGGAAAATCAATCGTTTAGGTTATCAATAACCCATTGACAATGGAACAATAGAAGAATTTGGCTGCATGTATTTGAGGCTAGCAGTTGGAAGCCCAAAACACCAATTGCATTCATTGAACACTTCATAATCGGTTCATCATAGCATAAGTTAAAATAATGTTCTCTAGACTCTTATCCAAGAAAAGAAATTCACAAGAAAACCAACATTTCCAAGTTACACAAAATTGAGATTCATAGTAGTGGCCAATATCACAAACTAATTATCATCAAGCTACTGAATTTGGGTACTGTTGGTTTCTAAGAAAATTCATCAGATGAAAATAACACTCTAAATACTACATTCGTTATAAACTGAGCAAAGCCACAAAATAGATGACGAGTACCCATGAAAATAATTCTATTTCAGCTATGACTCCTTTCTGAAAACCCCAACCATAATATTCCAAAATTTTGTCCCAAGAACTTCAACTTGAAATTCTAAAACATAAGATCACATCTAGTTCATCCTCCCCAAACCCACTAACCAAGTAAAGACTTTTTTGATGAAGAATTTCTTTTCCATCTTAAAAACTAGCACATACAAAAATCAACTAGGAAATAAACCAATCAGTCTAAATACCAAAGGTTGAACTAAAATTAAGCACAACCTAATAAGTGAGATAAAATTCTGGCTATATCAAATCCTAAATCACCAACTACTGATTCCAAACACCATTTGCTCATTAAGAAATGCATCATTTACAAATAATACTTAAACACAGTTTAATGCAGCATTGCCATTAACCCTACAATAGTTCATAGAAATTCAGAGTGTTTTGATGAGTATCTGGGTACATCATAAATCACTTTTAGTGGTACAAGTTTCTGATTTAAAAGTACTTACACCAAAAGCAGAATCTTAAGCGCTTTTCCATGAAGAAGATCCAAGAAGAGAATTTCAGGAGTCTATAGGAAAGCTAAAAGTAAAAACAGCAACCAATACTCTTGATCACAAAAAATTGCTTCGCTCTAAAGTGACAAAATTCAATGGATTAGTTATCAACAGGTTAAATCTAGAATGGACAACAAAAGCAAACACCTACTAAACCAAAACTACCCAACTATCTGCTCATTCCTTAAAAAAATTTAAAAGAATAATATTCCAAAAAAATCCCCTGAGAGCGACCACTTCCCTGGTAATGACCTTTTTTCCTAAAATTTTCCTTCCCGTGGCACAAACCAACATAAAATACAATTTAAAATATATATTCGTGTTAAAAAATGAAAAAGAAAAAAAAAACAGAACCCACCTCAGAAACAGGGCTATGAGATGGATCAGACAAGTGAGGAGGCAAAGAACCCGAATGAACCGACCTAGCAGCCCCTCTTTCTCTCCCTTCTTTCCTCCTCCTCCTGTCGTCGTTCCCTTCCTTTCTTCTAGGCGACGGTATCTCATTCATTTCCCATAGTGTCGCCGCTAGCTTCCTCGCCGAAACCGGCTGCTGCTGCTGCCCTTGCCCTTTAACTTTACTGCCACTTTGTGATCCCGCATACTTAGGAGACTCGGTAGCTCTCAACATTGATGCCGTTGATGGCGATCTCATCATCAGCTTCCACCGAGGCACGGGCGTACTGGATCCACCCCTTTTGCCACCAACTAGAATCGCTTTCTTGAATCTGTAGTTTTGGATAACGGATGACGACGATGAAGCTGAAGATGAACACCCTCGTTTCCTGATTTTGCCCGGGAGTAAATTTTCCATGTCAATGTTACCCAGGTTTTGCCTTGGCATCATCACTTTTTTTTACTCACTAAGTTAACTCGGCCCTCCTTTCTTTAGTGCTCAATTTTGCTTATTAGATCTTTCAAATCTGCCAACAAAACAATGGAGATTACAACCATTAATTATCAAAAAGAAGAAAAAAATAAACTTTTTTTTCAAAATTTGGCTCTTTTATTATTTTCTACGACTTTGCATTATAAATTTATTGGTGTTAGACCTAGATCTAATAAGCCTCTGTTTGGAGACTGAGAAATTTGAGGAAAAAGAAAGTAAATTAAAATGATAGAATAAACTAAACCTATGAAAAAGACAGATTTCAGTTACAAGTTGTCTGTTTGCTATTCAGACAACGTAAAATTTTCAAAATATAGGAAATTGAGGGAGAAAAAAAGGGGGAAAAAAGAGGTTAATTTTTGTTGACTGGAAGAAGATTTCTTTCTTCCTGAAACTTACCGTTACATTCATTGCTGGCTTTAGAGTTGTACCTAGGACTGTTTGGAAGCTGAGAAAACGAAAAGGAAAAAGAGAGAAACAGAGAGCAAAGTTTGAGATTTCAGATTCAGAAGCAAACCCTAGAAAAAGAGAGAGCTCCTCATTTTATGGCTTTCGAAGCACTCCAAAGGAAAATGTAAGTATTTTCTGATGAAATACAGACGGTAGACACGGGTAAATCGAAAAAAGTGAAGACGATAAAGTTATCTTGTACGGTCATATTAA